CTTGCTTGCATACAGATACTCAAATAAAAAACTCAGGTGATTTTGAACATATTCCAGAAAGAACATAAATTTGTGCAAATCGTATTAACAAACAGAAGTTCAAGTGACAAGTTGTTTATTTTCGTAAAAGTAGTTAAGAATTTTAAAGGTTTTGTGTCGGGTCATGGTATATATACTCTGACCAATAGAGCAATCCTCAAATACACAGAGTTTGTTAAAACGATCCGTGACCTCGTGAAGAGACACTTAAGTGCGACAGAATAAAAATTGTTAGTCCAAAACTCAGTAATTGATTCGACTTTCGACTCAAAGTTTATAGATCTCTACCCAACATTACTATTTATCCACCATGATGATTTTCGGTGTCAAAATAAACCGGTTATCGGACTAATCTAAATCCCGTTCAACCTTTGAAACTTTTTTCCCGACGGCAAATTTGTCAAAAACTAAATTTCTCTCCCTTTCAAGCGAGTTGCATTTCATTGATAAATTGTACACAGCGCCTTTTATCATTCATCGGCTTAAAACGTGCAGTATGTTAAAGACAATCGGTCTTCATTTGCGGTCAGAATCCATCCCGTGTATTTTGCCCTTTAACCATGCTGTAATTGGAGTCGAATTTTATACATTTTTGTGTTTTTTTTTCTTGGTAGTTTGGTTAGTAAGTGACTGTTTCCTCGTTTAGGCTGTAATTAACTTTGTTCAAGTTCGGGCGATACGCCAGATTCATAATTTCGACGAAGAAAAATATGCTTATCTGTTGAGGTTATATGCGAGACAAATAACTTGTTAATCCTCTATGTTTTTTCGGATTTGCGTACAATTCAAGGATGTTATAGTAAAAATGAAGAAATTGTTCCAAGTAATTCAAGAATCTCGTTGTACAATAACCTAAATGTATATTTGTAATGTATGTGTATCAGTGCATAGTTCAAATATGCCTGTCTGATGGGGTCTGACTTCAGTCTGAGAAACCAAAATTAAATTACATAGCGACACTGAAAGGTCGGTCCGAGATTTACGATCAAAGTTCGGACGAATCAGGTTTTATTATTGAGTTTGGACATGATATGAATCATTTCGGCAAAATTTTATTCTCAGACTTTCCATAACCAGGTTTAAACCCGAAATATTTTTGTCTGGTACGCATAAATATAGTCGAGCAAACGCGCAAAGTACTAGGGTATAATTCTCAATATAATTTTCACATATTACAGTCCCATAAAAGTTGGGCATATTTGCTAAAAACTTTGATTTGCATTACTGCGGTATTTTACAGCGAATCATAAAACACATCGACATATTTGTCGAAACATTTTCCCATAAAAACCAGGGGGCGTGATAAAGTATCATACTTTGAATATATAATTTCGATAGCTAAAATAAATCGGGAAATAGGACGGAGTTTACGTGCAATTATAAATATATATTCCTTTGAATTTTTAAACCTCAGTCTTTACCTTGTATAGAAATCGTTGACCGTATTTTATACGTCTCATTATTGTTGAATTTGTACGAGTATTTACTATCAAATTTGAGTTCAAATACCCTTTTTTGTAGTTTTTGATTTTGCAAATTTTTTTGTCACATCGCTCATATTTGATGACAAGTTATAGCCGCTAATAGTAAAGTGCGGGGGTTTTATTTTGTAGCGAGTTCGTGTCAGTTCATTTCATAACTTTCATGATATTAAATTTTGCGATCAAATACTCCGGAAACCAAGGGGAATTATTTTCAGTTTGCAACCAAGTAATAAACTCACCGGTACTCCCGTAGTATGTGAACCAAGATGGCGGGCCCCGAAACGTAGTAGGTTTACCATGTTAGAGTTAGGACATAATTTTATTTCAATTTTCCTTGTTTTAGTTCTATCACGAGTTCGGGGACTCGCCATTTGCTATATTATGGCCTAATCCTAAACTGGTACACATACAACGTTCCGGTATCAGCCATCTTGGTTCACATACTTCGGGAGTACCAACTCACCGGCACAATCAGAGCAAGATTAAAAACGCAATTTTCATTATAAATATTTTTTTTGATAAAATTCACAAAACCCAATCAGAAGTTTTTTTTGGAGTAGTTCTGCAGGCGCAAAGTCGATAACTGACATTGAACGGATATAAAGATGTCATGTATGCAGAATTGTTTATGACAAAATTTTGCAGGCGTGCTGTATTTATTACGTGCAAATTGATTATGAAACCATATCACCAACCCCAAGTTCAAATTGAGTTGTTTTAACGCTTGAATCAAATTTTTTTTCGCCAAGGTATAATGTCAGCGGTCTTGAAGGCAAAAACCATTCTTTGTGTAAAATTGTTAGAAAATCGTGAATCTACCACATTGCTTTGAATTATCAATTTAAAAATCGAGTTTCTTCTCATTTGTAAAATGGCCTGGCAAATTTTAAGTCTTATTGTCAAAGGTCATATATATATATATAATAGAAGATATATTTTCTGTAATGCAAATAAACCAAAAAATAGAATTCAAAATATTTAGAATTCCGAGTTCTATTATGTAAATAATTCTCGTTCAACATTCCGAGTTGCGAGCCAATTTTAAATGAAATTTTTATCCTTGATACCCGAAATTTGGACGATTTTATTAACAGTAAAATACAACTAAGTTTTCTGCATTTTTTCAATTACCAATCGCATACCATTACCCCCGTTACACTTAATGAAATATGTTTAAGGTGTGTGTGTTTCCGTTTTGTTAACGACACTTTCCACGTATTGAAAGCAAAAATTTGTCCCCAAAACAGAGCGAAGTGTGCTCTACACAAGCAAAACCATAACATTGGACTTTCATGTACTCTGGAGCGGAAAAATAAACATAAATTTTGTTATATTTAAAAAAAAAATTGTTAAATATGTGGTCACGTGATTTTGTCAGGTTTCCTTTATTCGTCACAATCGATGTCTGGAATGAATTGTGACGTCACGAATATTATTTTGCGTTTTTCAAATAACTCACTTTGTTGCGACATAAAGCTTAAATTATAAGTGTCAAAAAGGACAATACCGATTGCAGCTGTGACAGAATATAGCGGATCACCTGTTTTATGTGTGCTAATACCTCTATATTAACCCGTACGTCGCTTCGAGTATCTATATGCGGTTTTTTGTATTAAATACTTAATATGACACATTTTCAATACAAAAAGAGTCAATATTTAAAACATTCTCATGGCGAGCTAAAAAATATGAAGAATTTTTCAACTTGCCGCCAAAAGTTTGCGCAGGTGGCGGGAAATATTCCTTTGTATGAAATCACAATTGACACAACATGAGGCATTATGATGTGATAATCCGTCTTGTATCAGATCTATGAAATTGCCCTTAATTGTCAGATAAACGGGAAGTAAGGAATTAGAACAGTCTATTTATCGCAAAAACGTTAAAAACGCAATTTTAGCATACTTTTTCAAACTGAACATTATTTATAATATTTGCCATTTCCTATAGGTATTTATGTGCGTAATTTTGTGGTTGCTGGCCACAGGAGTACAAAAATACTTTTGCAAAATTAAACATAACGGAAAATAACCTTTATTAGTTTGCGAATACGTATTACAGGTAAATGTCAAAAATGTTTTGATAAAACTGGGTAAATATGGCGTCAGTTGAATCTGTAACATTTGGTAACCCGTTCAGATATTTTTGTAGGAACTTATGATTTGAGTGTAATAACAAATATAATGTGATGTTATGTTCTTGGTTAGGGTGGATAAAAAAAACTTCAAGCATTTTGTTAATCTATATGAAATGAAACAAATGGTAAAAATGAATGGCCATGGAAGCGATATTTTTGGCATTTAACACCTACGCTGATAGAAAAAACATTTTTCTAAAATTTTTATACACAACGTTTGCATGTCTTAACTCCAAGCAAGCCATGTACAAGAAAATACTGACTTAAAAAACAACTAATCCCGGAGTAGAGTTCATAAATGTAAACACAATGTAAAAACAATCAGTTTTGTTGCTTGTATCATTTATTTATCGACTTTTTAGAAAATGATATTTGAAGCGACCATTATTTGACAATAATTTATTTGAAAAACACTAAAAGATTTGATAGTATTAACCGTAGATACTTTCTGATTTTACCTGCTTTTTTAAGCGCAAATTTCATGTATTCTTAGTAATCCTAATTTAGATAGGTTTTTACAAATACTGTATAATATACCAGGGATTTAGCATTTTTTATTGAAATTTAATATCCATTTTTTTCTAAACGCAAAAAGGTTTTCGTTTGGGATTTACAGGCGAATGACGATAACTTCAGAAATAAGAATGACATTTATGAAATAACAACAGGTCGATGTAGCGGTTGACTCATAGATATAAAAAAAACACCGATGAAAACCTATAATTTGGGCAAAAACACAACTTTACAAAGTGGAAAACAATACAATTTTGCAAAACATGTAAATCTGCAAAATCTTGCTTTGTTCTACAATTGTGCCGTTTGTCAACGCCGACCAATCATCGCTTTACTAGGAACGTGCTTTCATCCTTATTGTGACATCATAACAATAGATCATTGTTGACGAAACAACGGATAAAATCAATCAGCAGATCGCGTGGAAGGGATCATCGGTTCGTTCGCGTCCGCGCGAATACTTTCCGGATTAAAAAATAAATTCATCAAGTTGTTGAAAAAATATATCATAGTTTGAATCTCTAATAAAAATAAATTGTTTGGGTTTTATGCCCGGTTCAAATGAGGGCGTTTGGGGCTCTTGCTAACGCCGCTCTCATTCGCGAGTCGTCCAATCTACCTAGAAGGCCCTGTGCGGTATTTTTAAATCTGTAATTCACCATTATACTTCTCTTTTTATAAACAGAATCGAAGGGCCAATATCTCTGATATAGTTCATTCTCGTTTTGGTGTTATACTGTTATACGTTTAGTGTTTATTTGATTACCCCTAATTTTATCCATATTTTTTGTTTTTGTGGTATTAATCATGTCGTTTCTATTTTCCAGAAATGCGACCCTGACGACAAAGAATGCAAGAAAAGTAGAAGAAAGGGGAAAAGGAAAGGCGGGAAACGAGGAGAAAAGGGAAAGAAAGGAAGAAGAAAGAAAAAATGCAAGAAAGGCGGAAAGAAAGGAAAACGTCGATGCACTGATAAAGGGAAAGGAAGAAATTCACCGAAACCACCCCCCATTAACGCAAAAACAAATCTAACTTTTGTTCCAGGAACACCTGGTTCCGGTAAGTTCATTAGAGTTTTTAAAATGGGAACACTTCCTCAGGTCACCTCACTTTTCCATCCCAGATATTTTAAAAGTATTCAACAATGTATAAAATTTAATGAGCTACATGTAATAGAAAGAGTTAACAAAAATAGTGGACATTTTTAGAACGCGGGTCGAAGTGTTTTTTCTGTATGTAAAAAACCCACGACCACAACGAGTAGTTAGGATTTTATGCTGTTATCGTGATAACACCACGCTCTTGGATAAATTAGGATATTAGAAAATTAGCGTCTAAAATCACCAATTGTTAAGTTTTGTCTTACTTTGCTAACATTGAATAAAAAGAAAGCAATTCAGTTTCGAAATCGAGATTTTCAATAATCACGAATACCTTACTTTAAACTGGGAATGAATATTTCCTACGCGCACAAATTATAATACTCCGCGTGGAAGTGTTTATGATATTCTGGCACCGGTATGTCTGTAATTAAATTATGATAAAGTATCTTAGTGAGTGAGATACTAGCGTAGCTATCGGAAGATTTATTTCCTAACGCTGTGTAAATAAACGAACAATGTGGCAATCGGGTCGCGGAGGTTTTGAACTTTCAGTTCTATGACAAGTAACGGAAGTATCGCTTTGTACGATTGGTTTGGCACCCTTATTTTGTTTTCTTTTCTTGTATATTTCTGTAACAAGAATAGGTACAAACGTAAGGAAATAACGAACACGGTGTAAATTCCGGACTGTTATATGTGTTTTATGATAATTTATTCAAATCAATGTTACCCCGAGCACAGTTTCGTGTGCTCGAACAAAAATAAACGAGACTCCTCTCTGAATAAAGTTAAGGGTGACCACTGAGATGTCAAGAGCCACTAAAATGGCTATTCTTATTAATCGTATACATATTATTCACATAGTTAGATAAAGAATTCCCGGAGTTAATATTTAATCGACTCCTAACACCACTAAAAATGACACATCACGTAACGCCGAAATACTTAAACATTGAACTTTTTGCTTCACTTGGACGATTCAACTTCCCCGGCGGCTTCCTTTGATGTGGCAACGATAATCATAATATGACTTTTTTAAAAACACGTAAATTTATCCAAAATTCTATTGTTATTAATTTGTCTATAGTCCATAAATGCTTATGTGTTTAGTTGGGTAGTGTAGTGTCAAGCGCGGTGTTTGAATATATGATCAGTAACAAAGAAATATATTATTCCAAAACTATACAAATTGTTAAATTTACCTCATTATTCATAGTAAAAAATTTGGGTATTGTTTACAGCATACGATGGTGCTTGCCAATTTAGGGCGATTAGTTAAATATCCTTCGCCGATGATCAAAGGGAAGGAAACTAAATACTGATGTAATATCGGTAATTACAACAAAAAGAGGATTTGAACTCAGATTGAGTCCCGTGATAGGCTGTCGTGGATAGGAAGGGGAGACAGACTTGAGTTATCTAAATTAAGTAAAATACTTGGACTGCTACTGAACTAACCACCACAATCAGGAGGAAAGAGAAAGTAGTGGTTGAGGGTCCCCCCTCCCTCTTTTAAAATTAAAAAAAAATCATTTTCATGTATCATACATAGCAATATTTTGTAGCTTACCCGCTAACTGTTATGCTATGACTTGACAGTCGAAAATTTTCGTCCTCCGCCCATGCCGCCAGTGGGACTGGGTATCCCATTATGACGGCCCGTAACAAGATGCGCTAATACACATCGAAAAGTATGAGTTTTAATGACGTTTAGAATGTCTGCCCAATAAAACACTTCTTTTGGACAAAAACATGGGGAGTGTTTTTTTTAACAATCCTACAGTAAAGAATGCCCGATCGAAAAAAGGCGCCATGATTTACTGTGGACAGGCTTGTGTTGGTTTCTTACCATTTGTGCATGTAGTTACGCTAGTGGGATTGGTTACAACGTTCTGGTCGTTACAAAATTCCAATGGATGGGTCAGTGTTCACAAGTTTGCAATTATTCTCTTGTGGGAATTCATGGCCATTGACAAAACTTGCGTCAATTGTTTCTTTATCGGCTGTAACTCGTTTCAAAATTTCTTAAACTTTGGACTTTTAAAGGGTTTCTCGTAATTCGCTTGATTAAAGGCGATTAAGGGTAATTATCCTCTGGTCATTATAAACCAAATCCCATGTTATGTTTGCCATAATCGTATAAACACACTTTCATCGTCCGCTTAGAAGGTGCGAAGTCGCTGCTAAAACCGTAAGCGCGCGTTGTTTTTGCGCCCTTTGAAGTTTTCAAATGCACGCGACAGCGGTACGCAAATATTAAAATCAAACACTATTATGACGCTGCATTTGGGTCTCTATGACGTCACTATCCTGGGCGGGAAATGAGAATTCCCGCCTCACCGCAATATGAAAGCGAACCTATGATTCTAAGTAGGGCGAAACATCAAAGGAATATTAACAATATCCGTTTCGAAGGTTTGAAATTTATGTTGAGGTTGGAAGTATCACAGATTCAGATACTGTTCGATCGGCACATTTGGCTTGTAAAGATATCAAATGGTTTTATCCGAATTTTGTGTCCGGTGGTCGCAACCTGGCTCTTATGTAGTAAACATGCACATCCCGTATAAGATAACCTACAGTGTTACTTAAAATGAAAACTATCAGAAAATAAATTTTTAAATACTTTCTTGTGGGCCACACTGTATACCAGTGTATATGGGCATTTTGTCAACTGTTCATGTAAATTACGTGATTGATATACTGAACATACTGTATTTAAGTCCGTAGACGCGATGAACGATTATAAGAGTGTCCATGAAGTCTTAAATTTTTTTTAAACTTTCAAATTAAAGGGAATTCATCGATACCTTATATTGTTTTGGCCGTCATAGATGTATCAAATGAAGTAAAATACTTGAACAATTACAGATTAAAAACAACAAACTCGGTTAATATATATTGAGAACTGACTTCATAACAAAATGGAAATTGTAAAGAAACTTTATGGACACACTGTATTTTGCGGTGAACCTAACTATATGTGTTGAAGATTGGAATTGAAGTCAATAAGTTAAAATGCGCAACCTCCATGGTGTATCGTCTAAATCTCGGCCATTTGAAAAACAAAAACAGTAAAATTCGGCAACCGCTTGTCTAAACCCCTGCTCAGGGTAAAATATGAAATCAAAAATAAATAAAATAAGCGCAATAAACGCCATTCCTCGGATAATTTCACCTTTTATAATTCTCAAGTTATTGGCAGGAAACAACAGTGGCTTTCTCGTTTTTAAACTTCAAACAGAAGCCTATTATTTCCTAAAATAAATCAAAGTAGTAATTAAGTCGGATAGTACTAATCACTCATTAGATTCATGGTACTTAAAAGAAAAGTCGGAAATTTTTTAGGCAATTTGTAGTATACATGGTAGCGCAATAGCCCTGTATAGAAGAGGCCATTTAAATGGCAACTGGGACCATATATCCACCCCTATATTCCTAACCCGATGTCCACATGGCAGCCCGGTAGCCTTGTATGGGGGAGGCCATTTGAATGGCGATTGGAACCATATATCCTTCCTTATTAGGACGAAACCATATATTTACTTGGTAGCACAATAGCGTTCTACAGAGGATTACTAGTTAGTATATGGAGATAGTTAAAGGATGACAAATGCCTTGATCCTATTTGATACTTTGAATTGGGTCACTGACAATAAAAGCGCTATCACATAGTTTAGAGTTCACTGTTCTGACGTCTATCATGATCGCACAAACACTAAACCTGGGATGGTTAATGATGTGATAGTCATACGGATTATAATTGACGAGTGCAAAATTTACGGGTTGGCGTGGGAGAAACAGTAAAGTTGATTAAAGTGTTTCTTTAAAGGTAATTGTGATTAAAAAAGGAAGCAAAAATGGGTATATTTCTACCTTATATGGTATTGTTTCGCAATTTCCTATTTCACAGTAGAATATTTATGACGTCAAAGTCACAAACGACACGTCATTATGTAGTCACAGACATCGGAAACTCAATTCCCGCCTCGCTAAGTAGTCATTTTCCGAATGAAATAATTTGAATAAACCAGAGAAAGTGATTTACAAGAAATTTTGTTTTGCGGGAACGAAACTCCACCGTTTTATGGCCGAACAATAATGAAATGACACGCTAAATTACGTCACAATGATTCCTACATGTGGAAAATATCAGATTACTAAGATCAGAGAAAACAAATCGAGTAGGCGCAGATGCGATACGGTAATGAATTTACTTGCTAACGTCCTAAGTAGGTTTTGTCATGTCGTCCCAAACCGGACGTTCGACTCCCATCGGGTCGTGCACCGTCGCCAACCACCCCACGTCGCTTTGATGTCACACACAAGGAAGGAATGCGATATACTGACCCTCTGCGCACTGGGAATACGGGAATTCCTGTTTTAAACGCATACCAATTGAGGCGGGACGCAAAAAAGGGTTAAATTTACAAACTTACAAGACGATGGCATTTACGGTAAAAATATCGGCGGTTTTGTTTGTTTTATGATGTTAAATTATTATCTATTAGATTTAATCTATTAGATTAAATGTAGCAATTCTATGTAGTGTATAGAAAGACCTTTGAATACCTTATTAATTTAAGTTTCGTTTCATTAATTAATATGTGGATTATGGCCAGTAATTAAGAGGGAAAGGGGTAAATTAATTTCTCGAATCAGAAGCAAAGAATTTTCATTTACGTCAGATAATATTCCAAATAGCTTAAGAATACAAATGGTTCACAAAGACTTGTAGGAAATTATGAATTTTTCCAGTAAATCAAACTCATTATTGCAACTGGATTAGTCAAATACTTTTGCAAAAATAGAATTTCCTATTCTGCAAATATTTGCTGAGTCTTGAATGATAAAAACATTTTAAATGTCAATATTGTAGTAGAAGCGAATTCCAGACTTTTGTGCAATCAAAAGATATCTGTAGAATCACCTGGCCATCTTGAAAAATACAGAACTTTAACGTTAATAATAAAGTATTCGTTTGCCATATATATCGCAATTAAGATTTTTTGTCAATTCACTTCGGGGGACCACAGGTCAACCTTGATAACGTAGAGCAGGGCTACTCAACTGGCGGACCGCGGTCCGAATCCGGACCTTTCGACCATTAAATTTGGACCGCGTCTGCTTGTCTATTTTAGCAGCATAAGCATCGTTTTATAGTTTTAAATGATTTTGATACAATTTAAATACACAGCTATACAGTTTGTCGTACTGGTCGATATTTGTGTCCATATTTGCGAGCCATTCATTGCTCTTGTATTTAATTTAATATTAAATTTGAAGTTTCGTTTATTTGATGAAATAAATTTTCTGTAATGTTCGGACCCCAGTAATTTTGAAGTTTCGTTCACGGACCTTTGGTGAAAATAGTTGGGTAGCCCTGACGTAGAGATCCAGTTCTAATATATGAATGACGGGACTAACTAACTCTAACATATATAAAGCCGTATACGGGACGAGCGTGCCGTGCGACAAGTGTGGAATAAACGTGGGACAATAATCGATATGCGATAAATTTGAAAAAAGAGTCGCCAATTACGTCGTTGAGAAGAGAGTTAGTTGAATTTTTGCCATTATAAGCGTAGCCATTGAAACGCGAAGACCCCCCCCCCCCCCCCTTGAAATGTAAAAAAATGCATTTTTCTGTATCAAAAATAGCTGTATTTCGTATTTGTAATTTTTAGACCCTGGAGAACCCACGTTTTCCGGGCCCGCTAGCTGTGACGGTCTAACTTTGCAATTAGAAATTTCACAACCCCCCCCCCCCCCCCACCCTTCTTAAAAATTTCTGGCTTTGCCCCTGATTACAAGCACCGACTTACATGACATAGAAAGCCTCAATCATCCCAAATTTTACTTTCCAATTCTAACCGGCCTATTTTCTTTTTACAGACTTACGCCAGCAATGCATCCGTACTTTGGATTGTCCAGAAGGCTACTGTTGCGCTCGTCTTCATTGGGAAAGGGTCTGCAAACCCTACGTCAAACTTGGCGAAGTAAGCACTTTTGATTCCTATGTTTCGTTAGGTCTTTAGACTTATGACGTCATTTAAAAATTCGAATTAGAATATATTCAGCAACTACACGCTATATACTGTTATATATACTTTTTTTTTTTAGTTTGAGAATTTTGTAAAAGTCCACCTATTTTTATTGAATGAGCTGATTTGCACGCGCCTCGCGCAGTTTTTTTGGGCCGCGCTCCCTTTTTAGAATTTGTCAAATTTCGCGTCCCACCTTAAAATTAATTACCTACTCAAAATTACTACATAACAGATAGTATGGCAAAAGTATGATTAAAAAAACACGTTGAAAATACGTGGATGGAATCGCAAACTCTAAACAATAAAGAAATCGAAATATCTAAAATAAGGCGAGCAAGATCAAATCAGACAAACATATTTATATTTGATTAGCTTCACACCCCCTCAAAATTTACTTCATGGGGTGCTCACCACCGTTTGAGAACCACTGCTTTGGATAATTCAAATATATCAACATACTTGCTAAATTTGTTGAGTTTTTTTAACGCACTATTACTTTCACAGGTTTGTACTCGCCCTCGACGCAAAAGTCGGAGAAGCATGGAGCACTATCAGCGATGTCCTTGCGAAGATCATCTCGCTTGCAGACGGGAACCAGGCGAAACAGAAGGCAAGAAAAACCAGCTGTTCAAATGCCACGCAAAAACGTGACCCATGTGACCAAAAACGCGGGAAAACAGGGTGAACCTACGTCACTTTATGATGACGTCACAATCACGCGAACGGAGAAGGGTCACATGACACACCAAGTTGATAGTTTCGAAATGAAACGAGACTTTCTATTGGCGGGATACTAGGAGGACAACTTTGTCACGTCATATTAAAAGGCGTGGGACGTTTGTTACGTCAAACAATATGATTCGGCGCGTAAAATTACCTTTTTCATAAATATACTTCAATTGTTGTGATTTTTTTTAATTTTTTTTCCATTTTTGTATCTTTATCATTTTTAAGATTGTTGTATCAAAATTGGTTTATTTGTCGTTTTTTTTTTTGTATACAAGCATGGCCCGCAGTTGTGGCTTGTATCATAAGCGAATTATCTATAACCGAGCTTGATCGATGATATCTTACCTAAATTTTTCGTACCAAACCAATAAAATATTGTGTTCCCAAGTAAATCATGTTTCAGAATTGATTATTTTATCACACTGACAAGGGAGAATTTTAAAAAATCCATTTACCGTCACTTATCCAAACAAGACCTTCACGAGCAGAAACTTGAACGCAGAGGGATGATATATTCAGAAGTCCCGAATCCTTTCAACCTCACATCATCCACTCAATTCAATTCAACCTGGCGAAGCATGGAGTTTGTACTGCATAACTGGCAATGCCAAAATCGTTAGTTAATCAGCGTTTTAATCACTGGGTCAGTAATCTTCAAACTTTTACTTCAAACTTTCACTTGGTACCGCCGAATTTTTTCGTGACCCTCTGGAACCCAAATAAAAATGGAGTCAAATTTAATTATACAGAAGATATTAGGAAAAATACCAATAAAACTGACAATACTTTTAATGAAACAACCGTGAAAATTCTTGCACAAAAGATCGAATCTTGTCTCCATTTCGCTGATGGTGGGTCTTAGTACTGGTTCCAAATCATTCAAATTTGATAGATATTTCTTTTTAACATAAGTTGGTGTCGAATACCTTACTTCACTAATGTTCCTGAAACACAACCCCGCGACCCCCATTGAGCCCTTTTGCGACTCACTGGGGGTCGTGACCTCACCAGTTTGAAGAGATTGAGACGATAGGTTATGGGTTGATTTCCGCTTATTCAGATGAAATTGGTCACAAGAGGATAATACAGATTGTTCACGTATTATTTGTGAATATGACACTATATGAGTTTACTTTCCGTATGCGGTTACTTTTGCACCTACCTAATGCCTCGAATCGTTTTTTTTTTTATTTGTTTTTAAAATGAGTAGTTTGCTTTATAGGGCTCCATAAGAATGTCACTACAGTTTCATCCGATTTCATGGCAATTTTTCGGCTCTATGGCGCCTTCTACTGGATTTGTTTTGCATTTTTCATCAGCCTGCCTTACGTCTGTTGTAAATATTTTATCTTCGTAACCCAGGGAAACATGATAAAAACATTCAGAAATTTAACCTTAATTTTGAAATGTTCTATACTCTGAAACTTACTCGTTATAATTTCACGGCCGTTGAACTGGTGCCTGAATATCTTTCATAATAATTCCCCATGGAGAAAACAAGGCGTTTAACCTTTGGCCACCATGTATTATAATAGAAAGGACATTTTCCAAACCACCGCATAAGCATCAAAATTTGATAATTTCCGATTCTAAAGCGGCGAAAAAAACAGAAAGTTTTATTTGACGTATAATACCTCTCAGAAACTCCAACTGGTACTTCCCTAAATCTTACTAGAAAATGTAGGAATCGGAAGTTTTTGTTCTCCATTGTTTATATTTCAGAAAATACTTCAAACCGAAACCTATTGAAACTTAATAATCAAACAAAAAGTATATCGATTGACGTAAAATGGGGCGAATTTTTAGTAGATTTCACTTATTATTTTCAACAGTATCCAGTATTTAAATATTTGTGAAATGTTTTTAAATTATTTTCTTTTTTTTTACTAAATATCTTTCTTAATAATACATTTTGCCAGTATGTGTTCAATCTTTCTTTTTTTATATTTTGAAATATATGAAATAAAATAGTCGTGTTGTGATTATTTGAAAGGGTGTTAAAGCTAATGTTCATCCATAATCAAAAGAAGTTAGGTATGCTATGCCGAAATTGATTAAATCAGGGGTGTGCAACTTTTATCACAGGAGGGTCAGGGCCTTTATTTGGGATAGATTTTATAGCAGTTGCAGAGACAAAAAATTGCTCCTTTTTGTTATTGATCTTACGGCATTATTAGGGGTCCTTGCAGAAATGATGAGTAAAACGTATCAATTTCTGAAGAAAACTGCCATTCGAATTTATTGTCACATCGACTTTGAACGAATTCAGTCAGAAACGCGTTTTTATCACATCATGTATTTTGCAACAGGCTTTTGCTTTGCAATACAAAAGAATTGGGATTGCTCGCACGTGCCAGATTAACTAAACTTAAAACTCGTTTCGCGGGGGCACTTTCCCGCGGACTGCACAATTTTTCTTTGCGGGTCGCATTTGGCCGCGGGCCACAGTTTGAACATCCCTGGACCAAATAGTCGACCCCCATCCCCCAATTTCAAGTCTTCGTTTAAATAGCAACAAACTCAAGCAATTCCAGCCAGAACTACCTGTCAAAGTATGTCAGTTTCGATCAGTTTGGGAAGTAAAACCAAGTAAGGTTTTCCGCTGTTTTTGAAATCTCCCAAATGTGCTCAGAAAAAGGTGAAAAGCATAAATATATAAGAGTCAATTCTATGTCTTCACATCACGTGGGCTATAATAAATATATATTTTGTCGTGCAAAAAAAAAGAAGTCAGCCTGTCGACAGAATTTGAAAATAAATTGTTTTAAGTTTATATTAAATTGCACCAATACGACAACCGCGAGAGCAGTGATATATAGAGCAGTGGTTCTCGAACTATTTTTACGGAAGATCCACATACAAAACTTTAAAATTATTTGGGTCAGGTGTTTCCAGAAATTATATTTCTGCATCCTTAAACGCGCACTTCCTCGGCCGGCTAATGATTATTAGCTAATCGAGATTGTTTATTATGGTGTTATAGTTCTTTTCATTTACGGGATTATCCAAAACAATAAAAGTCATTTGATAAAATGAAACTTCAAAAGTGGGGTTGATGATCCAAAATAAAGAATTAGGTGCGGTCCGAATCGAATACTCGAAAGGTCCGACTGAGTAGCCCTGGTCTACGGCACTGTGCGTACTCTACCGTGCGTCCGTAGCCTACTAAAATGGGGTCTCATGTAGTTTCGTACGAGACCCCTAAAATGGGCATAGGAGTACAGCAATCACATCAAAAATTTTGCTAAGTCTAACGCTACGGTATACGAGTACAGCAGTATTATTTTCAATATCAAGCGGTCGAATTTTCGCTCAGTTTACCTGTACCGGCACTCTAATGCATAATTAATACCTTCAGCCCCCAAGTAAATTTTAAATTGAATCTTCATTGCCTAGCTCATTATTTTAAAAACCTTTCAAATATTAGGTTCCACTTACCTTACCTAAAAAGAAGGCTTTGCTCATTGATATGTTCCGCTAAAATCCATCTAGTTGTGTCACGTTCAGTCTCTGAGAATCCACATACCTTCAATTCTATGAACCACTAATCAACGCCCAACTTAACTTATTTTGATCCGGCAGTTCGTTGGTTCTCGGAACTTTCAATTTTTTATAAAAAAATCTTCTAAAAGTCTAATAGTTTGGAACTTGTTCTAGAATCCCCGATCACTGGATACAAATATGATTGGATAACAACAACTCGAGAGTTCCTAAAACGAAATCTATAATTTCTTTCGAATTTCCAACTAGAACCAGCCTCTCGCATCGAAATCCAGCATGCGGCAACGTACTGAAACTTTGTTGCATAAATCAGGGGTGTGCAACTTTGAATACGGGAGAGCCAGATACAAATAACTGGGTAAAACCGCGTGCCGCACCTTAATTTAACATAGGCTTTCTAGTAATTGCAGGCGTAAAAATTTTGATCTAATGACATGCGTTGTTCGCTTCACACAAACTAGCTCTTGGGTCATTGTGACGTCATAAGTGTAGATAATAAATTGGACTCAGGTGTAGACTTTGCAACGCAGATGGATTGGAATTACTTTCACCTTCTAGAAAATATTCGTTTTGCGGGCCGCGCAGTATCCAAAATTGGTACTTCTTCGCGGGCCACACAATTTTTCATTGCGGGCCGCAGGTTGCACACCCCTGGCATAAATCGCTTTTTAATTGAGGAGTCGGAGTCAAACATTATCTATCCGGAGTAGCTATTTTCAGTTTTAAAGTATGGAACAGCAGATGAATGTTTTGATCACAATAGAAACAGAGGTTAATGACGTTCCCTTCGGATGAGAAATTTGTTTTTTGCGCTAGTCCGAACTGGCGCTCGGAATGAAACGCATATCAGTCCCTGAGTCACAGCCAGGGGGATGAAATCACAATCGGATGGAACTTAACGTTTTTTAACATCCCAGACTAGAAACACAAGGCCATTGGCTGCTTTTATCTGGCCTTGTTCGCAGCAAAGGACGCGAGTGAATGTCGTGTCATGTTATATTACAAAAACATTTTGCTTTCCCCGTAGGAATAATCTGGGGCTGACTATTTTCTTGATAGACAAGAAAATATTTGGTCATCAGTGTATACACTTAAAATCCCACTTTAAAAGGTTGGAAGAGGTTATAGGCAGTGATGGGATTCAGCCGGTTCGCACCGGTTATATAGAACCGTCTCACGGAATTTTATGAGATAAGCGAACCGGTTAGCATTACTGGTTACTGTCAATGTTCTGTTTGTAACAGAACCGTCTACAAAATGTGAATTTTTTGATGGAACCGGCTGACAAAAAATTTAAATCCCACCACTGGTTATAGGGTATTTGATCATGATGGCCGCCTCGGCGGAAAGCGGTCATCAGCCATCGATTTATTTCACAATATATCATCATTTTTGCCCCCATTTATCTTCATTAAAGAAATATAATCTAATTAGGTCTCGTCCATAATCGTTTTGCATATCAACTGCCGATTTTTATTCGTATTTTCGATATAGTCCTTGTGGGTCTGGAGTAAACGAATTAAATTGAAAAATCATTTTCTTTTACTGCATGATTTTGAATATTGAGAGATGTCAGTTGATGACATGGGACTTGAAACGGCGATCGAGAAGTATGTGTACCAATATGGATGTAACTAGTTTTGTTCGCCCATTTTACATCGAGTTTTTGTACAAGGACTGGTTGCTATGGGCAGGGGGTGTATGCACTTGGCTAACACAGACCCTAACTCGCAATAAAACTAATAAGGAAAATCGGAATTAAATTATAGCCTAACCCTAACCTGGTACACATACTACGCAAGTTCCCTGTAAACAATTCGATTCAACGCTGTCACGAAATTATATTTTTCTTTCAGATTTCCTTGATAATTTCGCGCCAAAACAATTTTTTTCTTGAGTCACACACGATGGGAATTATAAACAAAAGTTATAATTATTGCGTCACAATTCGCAAAGATATTAAAGTCACGGTCAGGTCACAATGGTATTTATGAGATCAGAATGAACTGTTTTAGTGACATCAAACAATGCAACTTATAATTAATTTGAATTATGCGGTTTTCAAGGTTTCCAAAGTATGAGGTTACAAATCATCTTAGACGCGACAGGCACGAAACAATCACAAAGAAAACCGCATAAAACTCGGAAATTCTAATCATAAATAATTTACAGACAAAACCGCATTAACCTGCAGACAAAAATAAAGACTAACAGAGAAAATAAATGAATAGCGGCGGTGATAAAGATATAGCAACAACATGTGAATGATATTCTATGGGAGTCAAGGGGTCACCTACTACCTACATCCTCCGGCCCTCCAGAAGTATGTGTACCAATATAAACGTAACTAATTTTGTTCACCTACTTTAGTTGTGTAAAGGGATTGAAACCTATGGACAGGGGGTATATTCACTTGTGCCATCACAGAAATTCTCCGAACTCGTAATAGAACTGAAATAGGAAAATCGGAATAAAAATATGGCCTAACCCTAACCTGGTACACATACTACGAGACTACCTATCCTCCATACGCGATGGTGTCTACTCAATACGATATCAGTGATTCCCAAAGTGAGCAATTTCGGCCCCTGGGGGTGAAACAAATACGATATGGGAACGAAAAACTCGGGAGAGGGGGCTTAGGTGGCGATAGCGCATTCTCAAAAATGTCTGAATTATTGCGAAATCAAAATTAATTCCTAGTCCTATGCTATGGAGCCGAAAAACATTTACAATCTACTCCGAGAAAAATCAGTTACTTCCAATTTTTTATAAAAAATTTATTTCACAAAATCGTAAAAAAATACAGAACTAAAGAAAATGCACAGTATATATATGGCTGGTTATGGTACGGCCTGGACACGATATATCCGGCCATACATGTCACGGATATAATACGATATATAGGTAAATAACAACGGCCACAGATGATAGGGGTATAAATGAAGTTTTAATGCTTGGCCATATGTGGGTTAATTAAGATGCCACAATGGCAAATTTATTTGAGTAATACAAGGCCGGGAATGAGCAATGCTGAGCTGGGAATAGTTAGGGGTGATAGGATAATCCGATATACGGTTATCAGCATATTGATTGAGAGATGGCAAAATCTAAATAGGTGGCCAGTTCAGGTCGGGATTTTCATATAAATTCTTGATAAGGATAGATAGGATAGATAAGGAGTCTTGATATTTTGTTATCTGTGGATAAGAACAATTGAATGTGCCGAGGAGAAGGTATGATGTTGACATAACATATATTAATCGGTAACTTTCCGAGACGAAATATATCATATTGTCAGTAATATTTGGACACTATCGGTACAGGTTTATAAATGTTATTAAAAAGTGTCCTCAAGAAACTATATAAGATTATAGAAATTGATAACAAGTAAAAATAATATGTATTGATATTTTTTCACCAAAATTGATGATGCCCCTGAGATATCAATAACTTTCAGAGACAAGATATATATTTTTATCAGTGATATTTGGACAATTAACCAAATGATGAGATAAGATGATAGAAATTGATAAGATATAGCGTTATCAGTCATAACCAAGGCGAGATAGCGAAGATGAGCAATTGGGATCAAATTAGTAATATAATAAACAAAGTTAGGGGCGGCCATTAAAATACAGAGAGAAACTGAAACCGTATACGAATCATGGCATGCGCTAAGCAATTCAATTTAGAAAAAGAATTAGATTGTTTGGTCTAATAAAGCAGTTGCGTAAATATAAATTTAACAGTCATATAATAACAAGTTACAAAATCACAGTTGTTTATGATGTCACAGTATATTGTTATGAGGTTGTCATGGCTACTGTATGTCATAGAAAAAGGTTTGTCCTGAGGTTTCACGGCCAACAGTAACAAGAGGCAAGAATAGGATGTTCAGGGGAAAGCAATCATGTAAGTTATGGATATAATTATTTAAGTCATGGTCAAAAAAGAACTTAGGTCCAGATCCAGAAGGCATTAAATTGAGTAAGCAATGCCAGCTGAAAAGATTTTGATCATTCCAAAAAAGGTACATCTCGTTAGATATCAGTGGCTGCATGTATCAGGTCTTGTTCAAATCAACTGCCTACTTTATTTATTACACCATGGGTGAGAAATTTACAACATTTATCGTGAAAGGTTAACAGTGACGGCCCAAGTCTCACACCCTTATCTTAAATATTAATATAGCCATATCGAGTTATTAATATGAAGAAAAAACTTCCAAGTTTTGTTAAGATTTATCTTAATCAATATTTTCTCCATGTCTGAATCCCGCCAGAGTATTTTAAAGTTGGGATCTCTAATGCCAAACCAGAGAGACCCCAGCCCCACCCTACTATTCGAAGAAACTTCCAAATTCTGTTAATTAATCCTGATTTTCTACATGTGCGAATCCAGTCAGAGTGGGTAGCAATGTCAAACAATCCTTACATATCGTTGCTACTTGTCTAGAGCCTTGCTCAGAGTGAGAAAACCAATAACCAGTGTTATTCGTAAAGAAGCTATGCCCCAGTATCCCATTGTAGTTCAATTTAGCCATATCAAGCCAATGATAATATGGATACATTTTCAATGTTCTCAAAGACGTTTAAACCAACACTTTTCAAAGTCAAGTCAAACATTGACAATATTCAACCTGTAGAGTAGCAGTTCCCAACCGAGGGGCACAGAGCAGTTGAAGGGGGGGCCACAATGCTAGATGCAAAACTGATTATACTTTCACTTTACAAAAAAAAAACGTTATTCCCAGTTTCATTGTTTGATAAGGTTATTTTACAGGATGTTTGTTGGGCATGAATTGTTTGAAGATAATGAGATTTGGAATCTACCAATCAAAATAACACTATAAATACCACTGGAATGATAATTAGGAGGTCATGAGGGCCATAAGAAAATGGGCCGCGGAAAACAACTGAGTTTGAGTCTTATTCAGAGCGAAAACCACAAACAAGGTTTTTAGTTGAAGCCCCGAGTCTGACATCCTTTATTTCAATATAACCATGTTAGTTTAGTAAAACGAGGAAAATTTCCAAATGTTGCATCATCTTAATCATAATTTTCTTCGTACAGAAGGGAGATTTGATTCTGGATAAACTGAATTTTCGTTCGGAGATGCGCCCTGAGAAAATGAAAAGTGTAGGGTTTGACTTCTAAACTCCACTGCTTCTGCTCCATAATTTCATTTTTCACCTAAAAGCTGGGCTGCCGCTCCATGCCATTGAGATTTTTGATTTAATCATGGAACGGCCCCTCAAGTACAAGTTCGCGGAAGCTGAGCACGAAACTATTACCCCAATCAACCAGATATCTTTAGTACAAATGCACAATTTTGATCAATAAAATGCGGTGGTGTGGCGCATCGTGCTAAGCGTTAGGAATACACTCGCCATCCCACCTCTGATTACCCTGAGTGGGTTCACAGATTCGAATCCCATGCAGGGATGGTTATATACGAGAGGATTGCTGGACTCCTCATCGCCGTAGGGTGGTTCACATAACCGCTGGTCAGTTACAGCTTCCTCCACCATAAAGTCCATGCTTCGGAAAAACAACTAGCTGGCTAACTAATCCCATACCCGTCGTGGACTGGTAACCGGACGAGAGGCAGTGGTAGGCCATAGGATTATGCCGTCTTATCAACTTTCCTCTCTCGCGACATAAATATATAAATCCTATCCAACTGAGAAGCAATTACAACCAACTAAATTCTTAAAAAACACAAATAAAAATAATTTTCATGAGACATCCTCTTTTGCTATAGACACTGTAAATTGAAGTAGCAAAGCAGGAGTCCACCCATTCCAGGGGTGGGCAAATCACAGCCTGCGGGCCAGACCGAAGTGTTTCATCCAGCGCACTTATTTCTGCTGAAACTACGACTATAGTTTTTATGAATATAATTTCGATGAAAATAACGTCATAATGCCACTGATTGCTACATTGTGCTTATTATATAAACGTTAGCCTAGCTGTTGTAAATAAACTGTTTTTATTCATAGTTTTTCACATTGAGTTTGGACCAAAGTCTATTATCTGTAACTGGCCCACTCATAAAGTAATTGCCCTCTGCCCTATTCCCAACAAGCATTCCCCCCCTTGAAAAAATTCAATCACTTACATTATACTGCCTCTGAGATGTTGAATCATAATTGGGAATCGGCATCAAACTCGGCTTTTGTGTCTTGGATTTGCGTTTTTGATCTAAAAAATATTGAAATAGTGTTTGAGTTCTCAGAATTTATTAGTAGAACAATGTAGAAAACTTCGTTCATGGACCCCACCAGAATTGTCCCCAACATGGTTGTTTGTGACGGCAAGCTACCAAGTGAACGTGAAGGATCGCCCCACAACCCCCATAGAATATCGCAGCTCTGTTTCAGAAACACTCGCCCAAATTATAATAAATTGGATGTGGTGGCAATTCGAAGTGTCTCCAACATGGTTGTCTCAGATGGATAATTGAGATTTGCAGCACTAATAAAGGTCTCTGGCGAGCTACCCAGTGAACATGCAGGCTCATTCACTCAGATGACCGCCCCACGACCCACAAGGGGGGAGACCGGGCCTATGTTTCTGAAACACTCATCCAAAGTATAATAAATTACGTAGTGGTCACTGTAACAATATTTATACCCTCGATTTCTATACCAGAGTGTAGGATAGAATTCAAAATACTTCAGGAAACCAAAAAACAGATAACTTATATACACTAGGGCAGGGCTGTGCAACCTTTTTCACTGGCGGGCCAAATTCAAGTAACTGAGTGAAGTCGCGGGCCGCACATTTATTTAATATAGACATTCTAGTAGTTGCAAGCACAAAAATTGTTTATTTCTGCTAGTCACCTTACGGCATTATTAGAGTTTCTTGCAGAAATAGTGAGTTAAACGCATAACTTTCTGAAGAAACTGCTATTCAAATTTTTGTAATATTAATCGAATATTTTGCAACAGAATTTTGCTTGCCAGTTTTGCTAATATAACAGTGACACCCAGGTACTGATATAGACTTTGTGGCGCAGAAGGATTAGAATTGCTCGCACGCACCAGATTACCCAAACTAAATACTCGTTTCAAGGGCACACCATTCAAATTTGTTATTTTTTCGCGGGCTGCACAATCGGCCCACGGGCGGCAGTTTGTACACCCCTGCACTAGGGATAGGCCAGAGCGAGATAATAACAGCATAACTCCAAGCACTGTATTAAATCAATAAAAGATAAGCGAATATCACTACTGCATCAAGCTAGAAAGGACGCGGTACTTTCAAACTATATTAGCTCACTATCTAGAGGTGACCGGTTGCGTAGAGCCGTGTTCAGAGTAGGAGATACATTGATGAGATGTATAAAAATGGCAGCGTTGGAGTTAGTCAACATGGGAATCGAATCTGAAGTCATACTGGGACTCAGAAGACCCATGAATAGAGCCCCGGGCTTCAGTGACTTGTGCCTATTCCTGAGCTACCCTGGCACTCAGTGAACGCATAGACTCGTTCCCCTGTGCGACCCCCAATGAGACCAGATCCACATTTCAGAAACGCCCATCCAAAGTATATTAAATTGGGTGGTGGTATCGAGCCGAAAATATGCTAGGACTCAGATGACCCGTAAATAGACCCCGAGAGACGGGTCTTGCGCCTAACCCTGATTCCAAGCTAAAAAATCTCTCTGAAAGCAGCCACTACTTACATTCAGCTCCTGTTTGCTTCAACCCTGGGAATTCATCAGTTCTCGATGTTGACATCCCTCCAGCCACACCCATACCACGCCCCATAAGATCCGGTAATTTAGTTCGTTTCGCATCTCTGCCGTAGGCAATGGCAACCTTCTCGTCGTGAGACTGAAATATAACAAAAATACAAGAGTTTTGAGGAAGCTCAAATCATTCAATCAACTAAAATTGGTCTCGAATCATAATTTATCAAATCAAAGTGACCTGAGACATCTAAATAGAAAAACGCATACTCATACTAACTAGCCAGTGAGACTTGTCCTATTTTGCATCGCGACTCAAGGTTTGTGGCAGTGGTTCTCAAACTGTGAGGTGCGGCCCACAAGAGGGAGGGGGGCAAAGACAATTTATTGAGGGGGAATGAAGCTCAATAAAAAAATTGTTCAATTTGAGCTCGCCCGTCTTATTTTGGTATTTAGATTTACGTTCCATCCATGTATTTTCAAGATGTTTTTTTAATAAAACATACTTTCACCTTATTATCTATTATTTGTAGCTTATTGTTAGTGTAAAGTTTATTTGCCCTCAAGGCAGATACACATATACAGGTCTTTTATCCAGGCCTGTTACAAACTATAATGCACCATCACCAAAGTAACACCCTTACATCAACATGTAAACAAGTAATAATTAGTAACAACAAGTAATGGCACAATGATTACAAGTGTCTGGTAAAGTAAACAGACCAGAACATTCACAGTTAGCTAGTAGGTTTTTTTTAGGTGGGGCGCGAGACTTGACGAAATCTAAAAAAGGGCAAGACTTAAAAAGTTAAAGAATCCCTGGTTTAGGGACTTGTACCGGTGCTCCCGAAGTATGCGAACCAAGATGGCGGACATCGGAACGTAACATGGGTAACAGGTTAGGGGATAATTTTTTTCCAATTTTCCTTGTTTTAGTCCTATTATCAGTTCGAAGACTAGCCAAGAGCCTCCCGTAGTATTTATACCTAAAATTATGGCCTAACCCGAACCTAGTCCACATATTACATTCCGATGTCCGCCATCTTGGTTCGCATACTTCGGGAGCCCCCTTGTACCTAATGCTGGAAACTGGTAAGAGATTCTAAATTATATTGACAATAAAGTCAAATGACAACCAAGGCTGTCGCAATGTTGGCAAATCACAGTCAAATGCTAAGAAGAAATGTACCAAATGTCATGTGTTCCCATAAAAATAGCAAAATTTAAGAAAATTTAAAAAAATGTGTCATAAATTAACCAGTTATTCGTTCCAGATGCATGATTTGATAATGGAGGAACATTACATGAACCACCCTACAGCGGCGAGGAGTCTAGCAATCCTCTTGCACATAATTATCCTCACAGGATTTGAACCTGCGCAGAGTAATCAGAGGTGCTATGGCGTATTCCAAAGTTCATGGAAACTAATTTTGTTCGCCCACTACACATCAAACCTATGGGCAGGGGGTATATTCACTTGGCTAACACAGACAGTCCCCGAACTCGTAATAGAACTAAAATAAAGAAAAACGGAATAAAATTATGGCCTCACCCTAACCTGGCACACACTACAGGAGTATCCATTATTTTGTATGCAATTTTATTGGTAGAAAAAAATAAATCGACTATGCCTTCGCAACTTTGATTTGAGCAAATTCTATTACAAAACTTTTTTCCTGGCAGAATTTTTGTCATACATTCACAATGGTAAATGTTCTGCCTACCTTCGAAAGCTTTCTTTCATCATTTATCTTCTCCTCATGCTTATGATGGTGATGATGTCGATGATGACTCGTTGTTTTCTCATCTGACGTTCGGTGAGGTTTCTTATCTGCGTCAGACCTGAGGAAAAAAAAGATAATTTTAAACGACCGACATTTTCAATACAAATTAAGCATTGTGTAATTATTCGCTGACAAGTAGGAAGCCACTATGCTTGGAAATATCGGGAATTTTCAGGTTCAACATAAGCTATCTGATTTATTAAATCTTGAGTGAAATAGTGGGCGTTTGGCCGAGAGAATTTTCACAGGCAGTTTAGTTAATACCCCGTAGTCTGTGAACCAAGATGGCGGACACTGAAATGTAGCATGGTCTTGATGGAGGAGGGAGCCGTAACCGACCAGCGGTTACATGAACCACCCTACGATGGCGAGGAGTCCAGCAATCCTCTCGCACATAACCATCCCCGCATGGGATTCGAACCTGTGAACCCACGCAGAGTTATCAGAGATGCGATGGCGAGCGTACTCCTAACGCTCGCTTAGCACGATGAGCCACACCACCGCCTCATCTCTGAAGAAAGTTACAGGCACTCACTCAGAAGTAAAAGAAACATATCTCTGAGCAAAGTTACACGCACTGACATATATGAGCAAAGTTATTGACAACCACCGAAATATCAGAGCTACTGAAACTATATGAAATCTCATGCCAGTAAATACTGATTCATCAGAGACAATTACTCACCCCCGTCCATCCATTCTATGCATTTGATGTTTCTCAAAGTAAGATTGTCCTGGTGTTGACCAGAGTGGCAGATTACTGCCTGATGGTTTGTCTTCTCTCTGGAAATGATGACCAAATTGTTGGGAGTAGGGCGACTGACTCTGGGTGTATGGAGAGCTGGATGTGCCTGAAAAAGAAAGATATTTTTAATTTTTTTTATTAGTTTTTCTAATGCAGCGTTTCTCAAATTTTTTTGTCGTGATACACTTACGCTTTTACTCTCGCCCCGCGTAACACCAAGAATTTAGAAGGCAAAATTGTGTAATGAATTTTCTTTGTGCATCAATTTGCCCAACCAGCTGTTCACAGCATATTTTAAGGCTTCCAGGAAGGCCTGTTTGCCTGTCAGTCGCCAATTGCGAAACAAATTTGTGACCCAGAGTCGTCGAAGTACGATAAAGACCGCCATGATAACCAATTTAGATTCATGTTCTGTAGAGCACGCCGTAGAATCTCGCGGAACGCTGTTCTAGTGTAACTATGCTAACTTGATGGTTCACTGAAGTTGGAATTTCATTTTCCATTGGCGAGGTCTAAACTTTGACACTCAAAAGATCTAGTCTATTGGACGGTTCTTCCCAGATTAAAGTAAATATTGTTTCACAATCCGTAGTTAAAGTTAAGTCTACAGCTCAGCTGGTTCCAGAGATAAATTTGAATATTAACAGGCACAGCTTATCTGGTACTCCTGGAGTATGCATACCAAGATGGCGGACACCGGGACGTAGTATGTGTACCAGTTCAGAGTTAGGCCATACTTTTATTCCAATTTTCCTTATTTTAGTTCTATTACGAGTTCGAGGACTAACCAAGTAAATCTTGTAGTACTTGTACCTGAAATTATGGCCTAACCCCAATCTGGTACACATACTACGTTGGTGTTCGCCATCTTGATACACATACTTCAGGAGTATATTATGTTAGATATGAGTGGCTGCAAGGAGTGGCTTTATTTGAAGTGAAAGTGCCACACACTCCTGGTTCTAAAGCGAATTTCAAATTTTCAACGGCACCTACCTCCAGTTTGACCAATAGATGTTGGATTATTTTTCTTGATAGCAGGATGAGAAATAGACGTAGCACCCGACATTGACAACATCATTTTTTCAAAGTTTGACACTGTGCTGCCATACATGCTCTTCTCGTATGAGGTCTGTGGAAAAAAAGGTTAAAGTTAATTTCTCAGTGGTGGCATACAGTATCTTATATTGATGTTAGAGACAGATGGATGTTGGATCAGCATTACTTAACTGGGGAGAAAATTCCCCCAAATTTTTTTTCTCATTTTTCAAGTTCCAAGGAAGAAAAGGAAATTTTATGCTTAAAGACTGGACAAGGTAGATAGATTAATAGCTAATTTGAGTGTGATGCATTTTGTGAACAGAAGTGGCAAAGTGAGAAAAAATAGGGAACCACTGAGCTTTAGGATTTCTAATCGATCAGCAGGGGTACTTTAGGTAACCGGCGGTCTGTTACATCTTCCTCCACCATTAAGTCCATGGATGTGAAACAAATAATTGGCTAACTAATCCCATATTCGTCATGGACTGGTGACAATACGAGAGGCCGTCATTAGCTATATCAGGGTGGTCAAAACCCAGGCCTGCGGGCCACATGTGACCCGCCGTTTCATTATCTGTGGCCCGCGTCACATTCGGAGAGGAATTAGAAAATCGCATTTTGTGTTGTTTCGTCATAAAATTAACCAAAAAATCTTCTGACATATTGTTGCATCATTAATGTCACTGAATTGACTAGTGTTATGGCTCGCTGAGGCAACTAGTGAAGTTAAACGAGCGAAGTTCTTGGCACAATTGTGGCCCACGAACAATGCAAAAGTAATTTTGTGGCCCGCGGAGCTGCCAATCTTGGACCACCCTCAGCTATATCATTAGGCCATCTTATTGGCCCCAATAATAAGCATGAAAAATTATTCTTTTGCCTATCCATGGTGTTGATTCTTATACAAAGCCTCGATAGAAGCTGTGGGAAGGTTCGTGAAAAATAAAACCACCTCATCTGGGGTGCACTGAATTGATATGCAATGCCGAACCGAACATGTTCCTGTCCTTTCAAAATTTGGTGCTTTCGTAGTATTTGTACCAAGTTAGGGTTAGGCCATAATTAGGCTTCCCGCTGCTTGTCAGCAGGGAACCTATTGTATTCCTGTGTTTTATTATTATTATTATTATTTATTTATTTATTATTATTATTATTATTTATTATTTATTTTTATTATTTTTTTTTCAAATTGGTCCTACAAACTTGAAATTCACCTCAAATGTGCAGAAGTTCTCAACTAACAATGAAATGCAAATTTTATGCATGACTGACCACGCTTTCACGCTCCAGTGAGCAAAACGCGTTTTCAGTTTTTTTGCGATTTCTCAAAATTGATACATGGTATTGGGTTGCAATTCATAACAATGATTAATGGACATGTTCCGGATACGATATGTCAAGGATACGCATGAGTGACCTCGGCGATACGCTCCAGTGAGCAATATAGGATTTTACATTTTCATCTTCTTCTCCAGAACGACACTACTTAGAGACTTGAAATTTACATCACACGCAGATAATAAGTCCCCCATCATAAATTGCAAATTTTATGCATGACTGACCACGCTTTCACGCTCCAGTGAGCAAAACGCGTCTTCAGCTTTTTTTACGCGGGAAGCCTGTTAAAGCTGCACGCAGCTCTAGTTTTATTCTGATTTTTCCTATTTTAGTTCTATCACTAGTTCGGGGACTGTCTGTGTTAGCCAAGTGAATATACCCTTGCCCATTGGTTTCAGTCCCTTTACACAACTCAATGTAAAGCAGGGTAACAAAATTAGTTACCTCTACATCAGTACACACACGTCTGGAGCGCACAAAATATGATTTCTCACGACCTTATTCAGAGTGACACTGTAAAAAAGTCTTACAAAAACAAAACAAACCTGAGGTGAGAACTCCTTGTTGGTTCCGGCTTTCTTTGCTTTGTCAAGAACTCTGAAAAACAAAAAAACGCAACATTGAGTTTCAAATACTAGATTATAAAAATAAGCGGGTAACGAAAGTGAATAACCATTATTCAAGCCAGGGGTTCTTTAATTTTTAGTGTCATGGAGCTCCGAAGAGGTTGACTATTATTACCAGAGCCCCACAATAAGTTTACAAAAATAAAACGAGAATATCGTTCGAAGACCGAAGACTTATCGATCGAGACTGTGGTTTCGGTTCATGACTCTATAGTGACACCACGTGTCCCATAACTAATTAAAAACTCGCTAATTTTACGACATAATTCATCCAAAATTAATAGGCTTCTGGCCCGAGATATGATGAATGCACATGCAAAATTTGGAGCAGATTCAACCACGCCTTCGTGAGATATCGCGTGCATCTAACAGACAGACAAACAGACAAATATCTATCAACATACTTATCGATCTAAAGATCGATAAGTAAGAAAAAACACATTGTTAATTACCAACTAATTGTCCTGAGTAAATTAAAATTACTCTTTTTAATGGCTTGGGTGTATGTAACGTTGTCTAAATTTATTAATGCTGTTATTGCTTCTTTGGACAATTACCAAATTAACCAAGTCAGTATTTTAATGAGTAAACGAATAGACCGCAGAGCCCCTAGGATTTCCCCACAGAGCCCTGAGGCTTTGTATGAAGCACTTTGACAACATATGATTTGAGCAAGTGTATGTCCATGCATCTGAAACAAAAAGCTGACTGACTAACCCGATATACAACTAGGACTGGTAACAAAAAGAGAGCTGTGGCTTGCCGTATCATCAGCTTTCCTCTTCCATGGGATTGATTTGAAAAATCAATATTTTATTAGAAAAAGGTATCACAAAATGCTTCGTGTAAAGTCACACTTATTTAGAAGGAAACATACATTTACTGAAAAATCAAGCAAAGCAATGGCATTAGACGATGTGAAAATATAAATTCGGTTCCACAGCACCAGAAAATGTCTGTTATTCGATCTTTGATTGCCCAGTAAGTCGAAGGATAATTCTGTGCAAAAGGATTGCCAATCTTTCAACAAACTTAATGCAACCAATGGCCAGTCACAGCTTTCATCATTATGTTAGTCCATGAATACAAGGATAGGATTTACATACTTATCCCAAATGAGAAAAAAGGAGATAAGAGGGCTTAATCATACGGCAAAACACGGCCTCTCGTTTGGTAACCAGTTAATGTCGGGTATGGAATTAGTTAGCCAGTTATTTGTTTTGGAAGCATGAACTTGATGGTGGAGATTGTATGTAGTGGATATCTGAACCACCCTACGGCGGCGATGAGTCTAGCAATCCTCTCGTACATAACCATCCACGTATGGGATTCGAACCTACAAACCCATGCAGGGTAATCAAGAAGTGCGATGACGTGCGTATTTCTAATGCTTAGCACGATGCGGCACACTGCCGAGCCACGATTCAATTAACTGGTTAAACATTCCCATATCCAAAATGAAAGATCACGGTTCGATGTATGATTGAGCAATATTACCAGCTTTCCCTTCTCAAATGAATAGAAAAAGACCTGAATTATTATAAGTATTTTATTCTTACTTTATTCCTTGTGAGGGAAATTGCTTCACTGCATCGACTGAAGACTCCATTTCAAGATGTCCTGTCCTCGTGGACTGAATCAGGGGACCTTGGGACTGAATTGGAGGAATTTTGTACCCACCACCCTGTTTTGAGGACATGGGTCTGTCTTTTTTATCTGCATTTGGGTCTTTTTGTAATTTCTGCTGTTTTGCTTCTTTTGGAGATTTTTCGTTTTGTGTTTTTGTTTGTTTCACTTGGAGGGTTAAATCAGAGGGGGTTGGGGGAGTTGACGTACTGTGTTTGTCATTCTTTACCCCCTTTTTGTCTCGAAAAACGGTCGTATCAGAAATGGATTTAGTTAGTGGACCACTAGAGGTCAGATATGCATCTTGGTCGGGCTTCATGTTACTCCTTTTATCTTGCGACCCCTTGTTCGAACCCTTTGGGATCAAATCTTCAAAAGTCAAGTTTTCTTTACTCGCCCTCGCCCCCGTTTGAGGGTTTTTCAAAATACTCTGTTTCGGTTCTTTAACGAGGGGAGGAGATTTTGAAAGGGGGGGTGTTTTATTTGTCAAATTTTTCTTCGGTGTACCTACATTATCTTTAGCAATTGTGACATGTTTTTTATCCTCTTTGTGATTTAGGTCGGGAATTCCCCCCTCCCTGGGACTTTTATCTTTAACAGGGGAGGTATTTTTCGGGCTTTTTGAGGAATCTTGTAACAAATTTTTTAACGAGTCCTGTGACGAACGAGTGAGGGAGTCGTTTGTCATTTTCGGAATCAAGGTTCGTGGAGAGGAAAAATCGTCCTTGGATTGTTGTGGTTTGGCTGGACCTGTCACCACCGTGTTGTCTTGCTTTATTGTCGCTGGAAGTTTTCGATCCTGTAAGAGAGGATAAAAATAATTGTGATTATTTTTAGAAATTTTTCCAATTATTCCTGAGATGAAAAAATAGTACTCCCGTAGTGTGTGTAGCAGATTAGGGTTCGGCCATAATTTTATTCAGATTTTCCCTATTTTAGTTCTTTTACGAGTTCGGGGACTGTCTGTGATAGCCAAGTGAATATACCCCTGCCCTTTGGTTCCCGTCACTTTACACAACTTGATGTAAAATGGGTAAACAAAATTAGTTACACACACTTCTGGAACGCCTAAAAATTTTGTTTTATTCTTTGGAGAGAGGAAAGGAAAGTTGATAAGTCAAATAATGAGAAAAAACAAAAAAATAAACCGAGGTTTGTCAGGAACCCAAGCCCATCATACATCTGCAGTCAGGATTCGGACGGAGTCAGAAAAATTTATAATCAACTCCCGAATCTGCGCTTAACGAAAATTTCGAAAATGATCGATCTAATCAATTCTTGGTTTTGTAATGATTTGAAAATCACCTTATGAAATTAATTAGTTCAGCATTCAAAATTTCACATTTAAATTTACTTCAGTGTCTGTAACTATAAATGTGCAGTATGATGTTAATTTCAAACATTCTGAGTTGCATAAAAAATATGAATTTCTATTAATTTACTATGATTTGTGCGAGTAAATGTTGAGCATATTCCAAAATGTATTTCGTAAATTATTCGGCGCAATGGAGAGTGTGCACCAATATGGAGGTGACTAATTTTGTTCGCCTACTTCACGTCAAGTTGTGTGGAGTGACTGAAACCTATGGGCAGGGGTATATATTCACTCGGCTAACACAGACATTCCCCAAACTCGTAATAGAACTAAAATAAGGAAAATTGGAATAAATGTATGGCCTAACCCAGGGGCAGGCCTACCTAGACTGGCAGGCCATGCAAGTGTGACGTAATAAGTTACATTTTATGAACAAGATTCATAGTGTTACAAAAGCAAAATTGGAAAACAATACCGGATTTGGCCAACAGGCCCAACCCTAACCTGGTACACCCACTACCAGAGTACCAACTATTCAATACAAGTGTAGTTTGTAATATAATGAGTCTTCTTATTGCTTTCCCTCTATGCTTAGGTAAATATAGATTGGTGTGTGGGCCGCAAAACGAGTTTTTAAATGAGTTTGATCTGGTACATGCCAGTAATTTCAATCCCTTTGGGTTGCGAAGCTTATCCCTGAATACAATTTATTATCTATACCAGGGTGGTCCAAACCCAGGCCCGCGGGCCACATATGGCCCAACGCCTCATTACCTGGGACCCAAGTGAGATTCGGAGAGTAATCGATAAATCGCATTTTGTGTTGTTTCGTAATAAAATTAATCAGAAAAACCTTTTGACATATTGTTATATCCCTAATGCCACTAAATAGACTAGTGTAATGGCTAGATGAGGCAAATAGCGAAGTTGAATGATGTGCTTGGCAGTCTAAATTATTATCTGGCTTTTTACCTTTTTGGTCGGGAATATATGCTTACAATATAGGCATCATAGAAAACTAAAAATAAAATGCAGATTCTAATAGCCTGAGATGGCTATGTCTGATAACTATGTGTTTGCACAATAAAAGTGTTTGTTTTGTATTTTTGTTTTTGTTTGTTTTGTAATTTGTGGCCCGCGGAGCCGACAACCTTGGACCACCCTGATCTATACCTATGATGTTACAATGCCCTAACAGCTAGCTTGTGCGAAGTGAACAACGCATGCCATAAGATTGATAACCAAAATATAATTATAATTGTATAATTGTTTGTAAATAATAATTCATCTTATTGTCTCCCATCTCTACCCTTAGATAAGTATGGAATTCCTATCATTTCTATGATTTACCTTCTCGCTTTCTTTTTTCTTCCTAATTTCATCACTAGGTGGTGTTTTACTTTGCTGAGGTTTTAACGCAGCGAGAGAATCTTTACGAGGAGGATCGACATTTGTTTCTTTTTTAATCTGAAAATATATGAACCTCTTCATTTACTAAACCAGTGGTTTCCAAAGTAGATTGACCACAGGCCAAAATTAGAAGCTGAAGGATATTCGCGGGAGGGAAGCATTCAAGGGGATCGATACCGGTACTAGCACGTATACGGTAACAAAGTTACCGATATAATTGTTACAAATCTACACATGCTTAAACTGTGATAATGACGTAACAATTGGCGGTATCTAGAACACAAGAAGGTTAAACAATTTCACTCAAGTTAAATTGTTACGCAGGGAGTTATTGGCCCGCAGGCCACGGTTTGGGAGCCAATGATTTAAGATTTAATAATTTGGACAGACAATGCTGAATTGAAAAGTGCTCCATAATATAGTGGCCCTTACATATCAGTGGCTGCATGTACCCTTCTTCAGAGGCAAATCATAAATAATATCAAAAAAATAAACTCACCGGGATATTCTTGCTATCCATTGCATTTCTGGGCGAATCCTTATTAATTAGGCTCTGGGGTTTCCCCGTTGTGTTATTAGGAGGGGTAGGTAACGACTTGTTTGGAGGCGTGGCAAGTGGTTTGTTGGGAGGCGTGGCAACTGGTTGATCCTTGGACCCAGAAGTGTTCTGTTGTTCCTGTATTTGTAAAAAAAATAATGTAAGATTAGGGTGGTTGTATATGTACAAACGTAGACGATTTGGGCAATCAAGAAGATGAACAGAGATCTGGTAAAGTACTGGAAGCTGAACCAAAATTTTTGAAATCTGGTGACGCAGCTATGGTCAGACTTGTTCCAAGCAAACCAATGTGTGTCGAAGCGTTCAAGAATTATGCTCCGCTTGGTCGTTTCGCCGTCCGCGACATGCGACAGACTGTTGCTGTTGGAGTCATCAAGGAAACTACCAAAAAGACCGGGAGAAAGAAAACCAAGGCAGCAGCTAAGGTCAATAAAAAAGCAGGAGCCAAGAAGTGACTGGAAGCATCTGGCGCCCATCAACAGCTTAGACCTAAAAAAACTGGGCAGTGAAACTGGGCAATCAGTCCCCTAAGGCAGAGTTTCCCAAACTTTTTGGGCCGCGGACCCATATTTGTGAATCTTAGTTTTGACAGACTGTTTCTGTGCCTAACCTACGAGTAAGGGTAATGTTTCATTTACAACACAACAACACAAATGACATTAATGCGATGAATGAGGTTGTCATCACCTGTATTTTGTCATCATATTGGTTAAGAGCTGAAAATGCTGCATCACACATCTAGGTCGTTGCAAAAGACAATAAAATTTTAACTGCCTTTTCCAACACATTCTGCCGCAACGCTCAACCAAAAATATTCAGTGGCTTTATGATTGAAAGGGGCGGCGGTGTGGCTCAACGGGCTAAGCGTTAGGAATACGCTCGCCACCGCACCTCTAATTACTCTGCGTGGGTTCGCAGGTTCGAATCCCATGCAGGAATGGTTATGTGCGAGAGGATTTCTAGACTCCTCGCCGTCGTTGGGTGGTTCACGTAACTGCTGGTCGGTTACGGCTTCCTCCACCACCAAGTCCATGCTTCCGAAAACAACCAATATAACTAATCCCATACCCGACTTGGAATGGTAACCGGACGAGAGGCCGTGGTTCGCCATATGGATAAGCCGTCTTATCGGCTTTCCTCTCCCCCGGGATAAATATGTAAATCCTATCCTATCCTGAAATCGATTATTAAATATCGATCAGACTCTTTTTATATCATTGCGACCCCCCTGTACAGTTACTGCGAACCCCAGTTTGGTAAACCCTGCCCTAAAAGGGGGTGAAGATACAAATAACTGAGACGAACCGGGGGCGGCTCCTTTATTTAATATAAACTTTCTAAAAGTTGAAGGCACAAAAATTTTGGTTATTGATCTTATGACATGCTTTGTTCATTTCGCAAAAGTTAGGCCCGCGGCGAAGTGCCAATTTTAAATAGTGTGCGGGCCATGAAACAAGTTTTTAATTTAGTATGTGCGAGTGACTCCACTCCGATTTCGTTGCAAAGCCTATACCTGAGTCCAATTTATTATCTATGACGTTACAATGCCCTTAGAGCTTTGAAGTGAACAATGCATGTCATATGATCAATAACAAAAATATGTGTGCCTGCAACTACTAGAAAGTTCATGGTAAATGAAGGTGCGGCCCTCGGACTCACCCAGTTATTTGTATCTGGCCCTTTTATATTCAAGGTTGCACACCCCTGAATTAGGCCATAACATACACAAAGGGTGGAGAAACCAACCTGTGAGAGCAAGGAACCCAACAATCTTCTGGTAATTGACTAAACTTATACCGGCACAGAACTCACAAAAAGTGCGGCAAATCGGCAATCCAAAAAGTGAATCCCCCCCACCCCTCTTCAACCAGTGTGAAATATATTCGCTAGGCAATGCCGAATCGGCGAGGTTTCAATCGTAGCTCCCCGAATATCGTGATATATCAGTGGGTGCTTGTGCATAGCTCAGCTCCGAGTGAAAAAAATGTACTCCCGAAGTATGTGAACCAAGATGGCGGACACCAGAATGTAGTATGTGTACCAGGTTAGGGTTAGGCCATAATTTTATTCCAATTTTCCTTATTTTAGTTCTATTACGAGTTCGGGGACTAGTCAAGTGACTCCTGTAGTATTGGTACCTGAAATTATGGCCTAACTTGGTACACATACACGTTCCGGTGTCCGCCATCTTGATTCACATACTTCGCGAGTACCGAAAAAAAGCATCAAAACACAAAACTCACCTTTTTCTTTTTCCTTTTCTCTTCAGCTAATTCTTGTTGTTTCTGCTGCTTTTCAGCCAAATTCTTTCGAACCATCTGGTTTTGTTGATGTTCCTTCTGAATTCTTGCTCGAATTTCTGGAATAACCTGAACAGAGATTTAAGATTGGATAATTTTTGTTTTTTCTGAGAGAATTTCGCTTGAAACAAGATGGCATGCTTAATCACTCAGAGACAATGAGACTCATCTCTGAGCGAAGTTACACTCACACAGAAGTAAAGAAAACTCATCTCTGAGCAAAAATATGGGTAATCACTCAGAAGTAGTCATGTTTGAGCGAAGTTACGAACACTCATTCAGAAGTAAAGGAGACTCATCTCTGAGCAAAGTTACAGGCACTCACTCAGAAGTAAAGGAGACTCATTTGTAAGCAAAGTTACAGGCACTCACTCAGAAGTAAAGGAGACTCATCTCTGAGCGAAGTTTTAGATGCTCACTCAGGAGTGAATAAAAAATATTTTTGTGCAAAGTTACATGAAACCACAGAAATAACAAGAGTGCTGAAATAAATTATGCTAGAAATAAATTTCTAACGAACCTTCTCTTCAAAATTATCTTTCCTGAAAAATTCATGCCGAAGAAGTGAAGATGAAGAAGGACGATCGTTTGGATCAAGACGGAGACATTGCTGTTAAGGAAAAAATGTTATTTTATATTTAACCAGAGAGAATACGAAAGTTAAATTGATGGTTTACTATGTCGTGAGGGTTGTGGAGTTTTTCATCGATATTAGAGCCAGAGTCAGAGTCAAAGTTATAAAATCACTTGAGTGAGAATCTCAGACTTTTAATGAAGATAATCGAGGCCAATATTTTTATCGTTAACTCAAAATAGGCATAGATCAGTGGCTCTCAAATGGTGGGTGCCCCACAAAGGGACGTAGACAATTTTACGAGGGAGTGTGAATCTAATTAAAACAAAAATATTTGTGGAATTTGATCTTGCCCAGTGCCCACCGTATTTTGGATATTTAAATTTCTTTCCAAAAAATTCCAAAAAATATTTTTTTGAATTTCAAATTGTTTATTGAATAAAACATACTTTGCCTTACTATCTGTTATATGTAGCTTATTGTTAGCTAGTTATTTTTGAGGTCAGGCGTGAGACTTGAATTCTAAGTACAGGACGTGTCTTATAAAGTTTGGGGACCACTGGCATAAATTATATGCATTTTCAACAGACAAATAAATGGGGGTTTCAGTTTACTATCAGAGTTTAGTTTTCTCAGTGTCATAGTCAAAATTATTGTCCACCTGGAGTCTGGAGTCGTTTTTCAAATGACTTGCAAGTTCCGGGTTGTCCCGACTTTACAACACTGCGTCTGACTGTGTGCGCATGGCATTGCTCTGAGAAAAATCTTTTTAAAAAATTTCATAAAATGTTTTTCCATACCTTCATAACATCGATAATCTCTGATGAAAACCGTGGAAATTTTTTCTCCAGTGGTTCGACCTCTTTGACCTCAGGAAGACGCATTCCTGCGAAGAGTGGGTTGCGCTGAAATATTTCTCGATGTCGTGGAGACAGGTTACCTACACACAGATTTTTAAAATATTTTATTGAAAAACTGGTAAAATTTCCTTTGGATTGGGAAATTTTTTATTTGATTTGTGAGAAAAAAAAACATGGAAAAGGATTAATGGTAATCCAAATCTGGAGAGCAAAGAATGACAGAAATCTGGTCTTATTATTAGTGCAAGTCAGGTATAGAGACAGTAAACCAGTTTTCATAGGCTAGTGCAGTGGTTCTCAACCTTTTTTCTTTCGTGGCCCATTTTGTTGCCCAAAAATTCTTGTGGCCCATTACCTTTTTATTGCAAGGGGTTACCTACGAGAGAAATCAAGGTCTTACTGTGAAAATGGACACTTAAACATTCATAATTAGAATGGAAATCTCTCGGTAGCAGGAAACAGCATCAGCAACAACAGCATGATTGCTGCTACAATCAAAAATACCCAATGTGATTTGTGACATAAATAAAACTAACAATTTTTATTAGTTCTGTAGCCAACCCCAAAATCTTTCTATGGCCATGGCTCACTGGCTGAGAACCAGTTGGCTAGTGGAAGGAATTAGAAAAATTATGAAATAATGAATTGCCCAAATAACCACTCCTGGTGTGGGGAACACAAAGATATTGAAATTTCGGTGAATATCTAGATGCAAATGTAAAAAACTTGTTTTCAATTTGAGAACAAGTGGCATACAAAGGCATTCAACTTGCTGAAGATTTACTAGCTGTAGCTGAAAATATCAAGACTTATTTTAATAACTACAGTGTCCCAATCTTAAAATATAGGTTAGCTAACACAAATAAGGCACAAACCAAATGAATGAAAAACCATGAACCAAAACTCAAAGTTAAACCAGCAACTTAGTGGAAAATTCCCAAAACTCTTATTAGGTTATATTTACGCAAACAATCCCCCTCGAATACTGGGGGCTACGATTGCGAGTAACAATTCAGTCCTACAGGTTTAGTACATTTGAAAAGACGTGCAAATCAAATACACTGATATCTCGGTAGTTAAACACAATTCGTTCGGGATTGGTGTTCGTGAAACTACCGTGTTGTTCGAGTGTCGTGGTGTTTTGCCATGAGAAACAATGGTGAATTATTCTGATATGTTCTCACGCATTCCAAAATACACAAAATATTATTCAAACATTGAAATGGTAGACTTCGCCATGCGATACTCACTCGGCCGCGCGATCTGTTCGGGTGTTCAAGCTCCTAGTTTATGCTTGAACACTGTAGCATTTTTGACTCGAATATTTTTTCGAGTGTCGAGTCGTTCGACTACCGAGACATTACTGTATATTCAAAACGTCATCCTTTTCATGCAAATTTGCTATAAACACAAATAAAACCCAAACTAAATGAATAAAAAGTGTTAAATTAATAAAAATACAAAGTTAAACAGAACAAATCCACATTGAGTTTTCAAGCAATTTTGTTTGAAACAAAGTCGCATGCCATCAGATATACAAGTAATAGGCGAGTTGTGAGTAACCACCGAGACATTGCGGGCTATATGTGGCCAGACTAGTTAACTAATCAGAGTGATATACGAGTGAGCACTAAAGGAATCAGATATAACAACCTACAATGTAATAATGTCGCGAATAACAGGTACTCCCCCCCCCTCAGGGAAACGAATCAATTTGGAACAAAAAATCAGTCGAAAAAATTGCCTAGTATGTAATTGAATAGGATAGGCCAGTGGGTTCCAAACGTTTTGTTCGTTCGCCAAATTACGAGGGAAAAAAATTCATGGCGCGCCTACACGAAGAAAATGCTGCATTTGAATAAAACTAAATTTTGTGATCATAAATGTGTACTTTATGCCTTTCACAGTTTGTAAATGCGCAAAACAACATAACATTTACCCACAATTATTTAATGAGAGGTGTGCGGCTGCTGCTATGGACACAGCTTTCCAAATATTCAATCATATAATAGTTGTGTGTAATACAGCTCTGTAATTTTAGGGGGCGCACTCAGCAAATCGCAGCGACGCTCCCTTCGGGAACCGCTGGGAAAGGCAAAGTCATTATGACTACTGCTCTTCCAAATTATAGTACCGCAGCTCCTTACACGACAGTTAGTGCTTATAGTCTTGTTCAGAGCAAAAACCCTGTAAAATGGTTCGATTTGAAAGTAAAATTAATCCTAGGCCACTAAACCATTCAAATATCCCTACCAACAATGTGATGGTGAGGTAAATAACAGGGGCTATCATGTTACTATGACAAAGGAATGGGCGGATCTGGACATCATTTGAGATTTGATGAATAATAAAAAGCTTTGTTATTTGATGAAAATATGACGTCAAAATAGGTTTCCACAAACTGCTAACAATTTTAAAATGCTGCAGAACACGAGAGACAAAAAAAAAACTCAAGTATAACGCTTTAACCCCCCCGGAACAAATGAGTCAATGAATAACTTCAGTCAGATTCGAGGCTTTAACCACCTCGCCAACCCACCCACATGGCCCAATTTAGTTTATATCCGATATTTCATATTTGAAAAATATATTCGAGAATTTATTCAGAATAGTTCAGCTTGTACAAAGCCTTGTTACGAGCAAAATGGGCAAAATTCTTAAGTCTCTTAAAATTAACTTTGATCAAAAAAAAGAATAGCAGTTTCTTGAATGTCAGTGAAAAATCGTGCATGGCCTTGTTCACAATGATGTTAAGCCATGTCCGGAAAATTCCCCGTAGGAAATCTTGCGGCATAGGAAAAATCGCAAGAGCATTTTGCTGTAAAACAAGTATTTGTGATAAAACAGTTGCGGTGATAAAACGGTATGCTCTCAAATAACGAATCTTTTTTAAATAAGGCGATTTTTCCTATGCAGCAAAATTTCCAAGAACCATGTTAAGCAAAGACCTCATAAAGAAAATTTTCTTAAAAATATTCAGCCATCACTGTGCATAGTATCACCTCAATATTGTCACTTGTTTCAAAACAATTACCAATCACTATGCTTGGAGGATGCGAATGTTGAATAGCTAAGAGGTCGGGTTACAGCGACCTTTCCTATGGAGCGTGTTACGAAGAGAGAAACATGAAAGCGTAATTGACAATAGTAATTTTATAACAAAGGATTAAAAACTTTGCCGAAGCACTGAGATTCATTTAGTGACTTGATTTCAATTCTATTTGTGGTTCTCTCCAAATGAGGTTTGTCCCCAATATAAATTTAATAAAAATTGTCAAACTGCTTTGGACAATGTAATACTATTCAAATTTCGGCACTCCAGAAGTATGTGTACCAATATAGAGGTAACTAATTTTGTTCGCCTATTTTACATCAAGTTGTGTAAAGGGACTGAAACTTATGGGAAGAGAGTATATTCACTTGGCTAACACAGACAGTCCCTGAACTTGTAATAGAACTAAAATAACAAAAACCGGAATAAAACTATGGCCCAACCCTAACCTGGTACACATACTTCGGGAGTACCCAAATTTCTACCTGAATAAGTCACTGTACGAATGCAGAATATTAGAATTGCTGAAACTTTGCTGAAGTGTTACAATTCATTTAGGCACTTAATTTCAATCACTTTCAAAGTTCACTCTATATAGGGCATTGCACTAGGATAATTTTGAAATTTGCCAGATTTTGAGCGTTAGATGATTCTTCACTACTCAACTCAACTCCTAATCTGAAATAGGATTCTGAACCATTATAAAATATTAGAATTACCATAGTGTTGTGTTAATTTTAACCAAGTCGAAGTTCTCTTCAAATAAGGCTCCAGGCCATTGTAAAAAGTTGTCTATATGGCAGCCCAATAGCCCTGTATGACGGAGGCCATTTAAATAGCGATTGCTGCCATATATATCCATCCCAATTCCTAACTAATTAACCTTCTGTCTATTCATATATATCCATGTATTAAAATGGTCTTGCATTTATTCTAAGTTCTTTCTGAACAGGGATCTGGACCTCAGTTAATCAGATAGCACAATATACGTACCGGGTAATCAATTATAATTCATCAAAAATTTTATTCAAATTCAGTTATCGAAACACAAAAACTAGTTCGATTAAATACAGTAGGATTCTGTTAATATACCGCACCATAAAACTGCAATCATAAACGCAAAGTTATCACTAATGTTGATAATGTTAGGTAATATTTAGAAAAACTATTACACAGGTATTACACAATCAATGACTACTATTGCGCAATGCAGAACAAAAATTACCATAGTAGCCAGAATATTATGTGAGCTTTTATTTAAGGTTAAATCATCACTCAAGCTAATTTAAGTTTTTTCTCAATTAATTCTAACTTTAAACTAATTATTGCGTAATGCATGTCAAATATTGCATAATACACACCAATTATTGCACAATTCACACTAATTATTACGCAATTCACACCTATTATTGCACAATCCACACCAATTATTGCGCAACCCACATCTATTATTGCGCAATCTTACCAAAGCACTTAACAATATGATATAGTTGATCAATATCTGAATCCCCGGGAAATATTGGATCCCCGGTCAGCATTTCTGCAATCAGACATCCAACAGCCCAGAGGTCTACAGGCCTGTGTCGAACAAAATTATTCTTCTAATTATATGAGAAAGGTTAATGCAGGCTTACCCAATGCAGAGAAAGAATTCAATTGTTTAGGTCAGGGGTGCAAACTTTATTACAAGAGGGTCAGATACAAATAACTGGGTGAAACCGTGGGCCACACCTTTTAACTTAGGCTTTCTAGTAGTTGCAAGCACAAAAATTTTGGTTATTGATCTAATGACATGCGGTGTTGGCTTCGCACAAGCTAGCTTTTAGGGCATTGTAACGCTATATGCATAGACAAGAAATTAGACTCAAGTATAGGCTTTGCTACGCAAACAGAGGGGAATTACTCGCACATACCAGATTAAACTAGATTGAAAACTCGTTTCGTAGGCCAAATCCCATGCAAAATTGTCACTTTTCCGCCAGTCGCACAATTTTTCCTTGTGGGCCGCATTTGGCAAGTGACCAAAACCGAATAATACAGAAGAAAAAGTGACAAAATACGCAAAAGTTGATAAAAAACATGTAGGCCTACTGAATGAATCAGAATGTAATCCATCCTATAGATAATTGACGATACAAAAAAATTACAAAAATTTATAAAAAAAAAAAATAAACTGACTACATTCATTTAAAAGCTGAATAGAGACATTCTTTCTAAAACTCCGCTATTATGTGTCGGATTAGGCCGGGGGCTAATGGGGCTACATCAACCGCTCACAAATAAACAATCAAAAATAGGCCAAGCATACTGACATACTGTCTAGGAATCTTTACCAGCAGAGGCTCTTGTTCAGACAGTGAAAAAAAAGTAAATGTGTGGTTTAAAAAAGAAATATAAGCCTTTGAATGCAGTATAGGCCCAGGCCCGTGGAAGTGCGTATATCCTCGCATATAAGCCAAGTTTGAAACTGAAAAAAAAAGTTGCCAAACCAGGGGTCGGACTATACGCACATAACTCTGGTCACACTCAAAACGAAATGACCGTATGATAACTTAATTCCAACAGCTACAACTTGTACGACGTGTTATGGTTTGTAGGGTCAGCTAAAATGCAAATTTTTATAAATTCACCGCTTCAGGGCAATTTTTAAGGGTTGGCTTATATGTGGCAATATATATGTATAAGATGTATGCACCAAAATGGAAATTGAGTGATAAATATATTTCATTCCATGCCAAATAACTCACTGGCAACTCCAGCAAATATATTATCTCCTAACACTCATCACAGCATCTTGTACTGTACGTTACACCTCTATATAGCTTTTAACTTGTCAGAAGTCACACCAACTTTAAATTCTTAGATAAGGTGTCAAGGCTTTACTTTAAGAAAATTAAAACAAATATAGGAACAAAGAAGCAAAGAAAAATCAAGAAAAAGGATTTCAGCTCAAGAAATGGATAAATTTGAAAAAAAATGCAGATAAAGATAAATAAGATGAATTCAAAATAAAAACTGAAGTGATAAGTCTCTCTAAAACTTCACTATTGCTATTCTATAGATTATTGGCCGCTAATACTGGAAAGCAAAAGGCAACATAGAAAAATTGCAAAACATAAAACATAAGCCCAAAAAATTCTTTCAGTAACTTGACTGTTATTTATATAAATTAACGACTGACACTTCCTGCTCACGAACTAACTGCTCACACTCACCTAGACACCTCGTTACCCTGTATATCTGATCAATATCTGACTTTCCTGGGAACAATGGATCGCCAATCATCATCTCACCGATAAGGCAGCCAATCGCCCAAATATCAATAGCCCTGTATATTAGTAATCAATGAATTTATATTGATAAGATAAGGAATTTATCTAATACTGATATATCTAATCAATATCTGAATTTCCTGGGAATAATAGATCGCCAATCATCATCTCACCGATAAGGCAGCCAATTTCCCAGATATCAATCGCCCCGTGTATCAGTAATCCATAAGGTTTTGAAGATAAGATAACAAATTTATCTGATTTTGATATCTATTTATTATGCAAAACCGGTAATGGTTATCGAGCAGCGTCACCAATCAATCAATGAAACTAAATTAGAACAGTATCCCAGAATCGACTTGTAATCAATGGAGTTTTATTGATGAGACAGCGTATCTAAGTGAGATATTGAGATTAGTTTGCCACAAATAAGATCCTGTGAATGGATTTCATAGTAGAGGGAGCCGAAACTGTTCATGTTGCATGACCCATCCCATAACAGGTCCAGCACTACTTTAGCACAAAATTATTACTCTTAGATTCCCAGCCAATTTAGTGCTTTAATAACTGTCTTACTGTCTATTAATTTTTCGGAAAATTTGCCAAAAGCAACGTAACATGAACTAACTCCTAAACAAAGAAGACCCTCATCTCTTAGCAAAGTTACAGGCCACCAATGAAATATCAGAAGTTACTGAAACCACACGGTAGGGCCGTAGGATGATTTACGTAATCGCTGGCCGGTTGCGGCTTCCTCCACCAACCGAGACGAGAGGCCGTGGTTCGCCATACCATTACCCATCTTATCAACTTTCCTCTCCCCCGAGAGAAATATGTGAACCCTATCCATATGGGAGTATGGTTGTGCGATACACTCAAATAAATTCTAAAACAGTTCAAGTCAATATGGCCATGAAACAACTACTTTTATATGACCTCCCAAATCTCCCAAATTTCGAGTTTACCTCCAGTACAGTAGTACCGAGGCCTGTTCAAAGTAAAAGCTACTACAGAAAGACTCAATCAAATTATATAGAATTATGGAGGAGTACCATAAGCACTGATGCAATGAATCCAAAATATCTCTGTTCTCTGAGCAAATTCACATGCAACAACTGAAGAGAGAGTACCTCTCACATGAGTTATCTCACATGAGTTACACTTGAGTTATTGACACAAGACGCAGTTCAAATCAATAGTCAGAAAAACAGCCACATATTCAAAATTGGCATGACATATGAAACCTTGCTATTTCTAAACCCTCACCCTTTCATCTCCATCCCTAACTACTGAAGAAAATAAGGAGTCGACAATTCAATTCATAGGCAGGTAGTGACTCATCATTAATCTGACCTTGACCTTGTAATATTTATAAAAAAAATTCCCCCCCCCCCCTGAGAATTGTTTCTTCCCCCCACATATTAAAAAAATCACCTACCTCCCATATTTTGTATCCCCCACTAATAACTCTGGTGCACGATACCATCTGGTGGCGACGTAATCCGTATAAATCTCGCCATGTGCTGCCAAAGAACGAGCAAATCCAAAATCACATATTTTTATTACTCCTCCCCGTGAGTTTAGAATGTTTTCTGGTTTTATGTCCCGATGAATAATCTGAAACAAAAGAGGTAAAAATCAAAATTTCATATTTATTCAGAGAAAGTAAAGGCGACTTAATAATATGGCGAACAGCGTGCTCTTGTCTGGTCACCAGTCCATGTAGGATAGGGGATCAGTTGGCAGTTATTTTTTTCAGAGGCCTGGACTTGATGGTGAAGAAATCTACAACTGACCAGCGGTTATGTGAACTAACCTACAGCAAAAAGGAGTCCTGTCACATATAAAAAAATACGGCGCTCCAGAAGTATGTGTACCAATATGTAAGTGACTAATTTTGTTCGCCTATTTTACATCAAGTTGTGTAAAGGGACGGTAGCTTATGGGCAGAGGGTATATTCACTGGGTACACATACTTGGGAGTACTAAAATTACTGTATGCTTCAGATCTAGATGAACAAAATAAATAAATACCCAAGCATAACTCAAAATCAGTGACCTTGTTCACACTGAAATATGTCATATCATAACTCACATTATGGCTGTGGCAGAATTCAACTCCTCGTAAGACTTGCCAAAGAATCTTTCGCACTGTCATTTCACTGAGTCCGTTTGGATATTTTTCCAGATCATCAAGAACGGTGTGGTCGACAAATTCAAAGACGAGATAGAGTCGTTTACGGCGTCGAAATACTTCAATAAGGTTGACAAGGTTCTCATGACGAAGTTTCTAAAAAAATTGCAGTATGATCCACCCACTAGAGCATGGGTAGGCAAGGTTTTTTGACCAAGAGCGAAAATTTTGCCCACCTAGACTGATAGGCCATGTAAGTGTAACGTAAAAAGTTTCATGTTATGAACAAAATTTACAGTAACAAAAGCAAAAGTGGAAAGCGATAGGCCCCGTGCCAAAACTAAATTTAATCGCAATCTCAACAAATTTCTTGAGATAATTTTTAGCTGAAACATTGAAATTTGGATTTAGTTTGGTTGTGACAGCCTAGAGCCGGCCAAATTAAATTACTCCATGGGAAGGATTTGGCCCGCTGGCCGTATTTTGCGCATGTCAGAACTAGAGCAATCACCAGGTTGTAAGCAGGGCTGGGAGGTGGAGCCATGCTTATTATTATAGCTGTGGCCTGATTCAACAATTTTTGCATATGTCATTCTTAATCCCCACCTGACTACGTCATCCCAAAATTACATCACTACATTGTCACAGTGACGGACGAAAGGTATACGGACAAACTATCACCCGGGGTTGAACAAGCTATTGCTCTTGTCGCAACTATCCCGATATGAGAGAGGAGAGAGATCGCTGGCGTTAGTGACTTCGTTATCGTCGTCGCAGATGCCATTTCGGGCAATTGTAGCTATACTTTGGCAAGCTCTATGACGTGATCTTGACATCGTAAAAACATAATTTTTGGACGACGTAGTCAGGTGGGAGTTAAGAATGAGGGAAAGTCATATGCAAAAATTGTGGAGTCAAGCGAACTAGAAGTACATGTGGTACTAAACTACACCTGACCCAATTTTGAAACTTTTCCTTGTTGTAATTTTATCTTTTATAACTATGTATCCGTAAATGCTTAAACAGATCCTTTAGTGAGAAGTACAACGATCCAGAAGTACATGTACCAATATGGAGGTTACTAATTTTGTTCGTCTAATTTACATCAAGTTGCGTAAAGGGACTGAAACATATGGGTAGGGGGTATACTCACTTGTCTAACACAGACAGTCCCCGAACTCGTAATAGAACTAAAATTAGGAAAACTGGAAAAAAATTATGCCCAACCCTAACATGGTTCACATACGACAGGAGTATCTAAAGAATGTTATTAACTTACCCTGAGCATCCTGACTTCTCTCATTGCAATTTTCTTCACCATTTTATCGTCCTCACTCTCGAGAAACTTTTTGATCGCAACAACTTGTCCTGTTTCTTTGTGTTTGCATTTCATGACCATCCCATACGATCCCTCGCCCACCATTCCTAGATTGTCATATTTTTCCATAGCCTCAATGTAACAGGCCGGTACGCAACGGCCTCATCACATCGTAAATAATGTCTTTAGAGTTTACGTTATAAATGAATGTTTCAAATCTGGTAAAATTGAGAATTAGAATATTCTGATCATTCACAAAAAAGGTACCGTACATAAAAAGCCTTACGACGTTGATGAGACTAGCAATCCTTTCGCACATAATTACAAGTACGACAATGTTAAAACTGGCACACATAAATTCTCTACTAGCTGACTAGAGATAGGCAATATAGAATAATTTACTATTCTAGTATATTCTATCAGAGAGATTTTGGCATGAGAGAAAACCCTTATCACTGATTAATAAATTAGAGACCTAGAGACGGGAAATACAAAAAATGACGTTGAAAAGACTTGAACTGAACCCTGTCATCGAATCTTCGGATTCAGTATTCCAAACTGCCCATCCCTACTGCCCTATGCCCCACACTGCCATATCTCAACAGTCTGGGGCGTCATGCTAAGCATTGGGAACTCCCTTGCCACTGCACCTCCAGACCTCTTGCGCGGGTTCACAGGTTCAAATTCTGAGGAGGATAATTTCGTGCCAAAGAATTGCTGGACTCCTCGTCGCAGTAGGGAGGTTCATATAATACTGGGCGGTTATGTATGACTTCTTCCAACATCATTATCAATGCATGTGAAACAAATAACTGGCTAACTACATGGCCTGTCAGGCTGGTAACCAACGAGAGGCCGTTTTATTTCACTTGCATATTGTCTTATGTGGTTTGCTTGAACACTTGGGGGAAATTAATTAATTTGAACAATCTTTCCTTCAAAGCTTTTTCAGTTAAGATAGTCTACCAATGCTGTAATGTTTGTATTGGATTGGATTTTACGTATTTATCCCGAGGGAGAGGAGAGCTGATAAGACGACTTATCCATATGGCAAACCACGGCCTCTCGTCCGTTTACCATTCCAAGTCGGGTATGGGATTAGTTATATTGTTTGTTTTCGGAAGCATGGACTTGATGGTGGAGGAAGCCGTAACCGACCAGCGGTTACGTGAACCACCATACGGCGGCGAGAAGTCCAGCAATCCTCTCGCACATAACCATCTCTGCATGGGATTCGAACCTGCGAACCCACGCAGAGTAATTAGAGGTGCGGTGACAAGCATATTCCTATCGCTTAGCCCGGTGAGCCACACCGCCGCGCCTGTAACCCAATAACGGATACTACTGTCAGACTGTACTAAATCAATGTTCTGTGGCTTCCATTCCTGTATTACTCTGTAATTCGCCCGAGAATGGTAGTCTACTGGTACCGAAGTTATTTGAAAGTACCGTACCGGTATGCAGTTCTGCAGTTAGGTACGGTACCGTACCATACAGACAGAGTTACGGTTTGTATGGTCTGATCTGCTGATGGTTAGCGGTGAAAACGTCTGAACGTGGTCAATTTAACAACTTATTAAATCCAATTTCACATAAGTCAGTAAGTTACGTTAAAATTTTAACATCGATTGCTAATCGCAGAATATAGCCTAATAAAACCATGCCTACCTTTTTTATGGCTTCAAATTAATTGCTCAAATTTATTTAGGCCTTGCTGTTAAATATCGGAACCGCCAATCAGCACGCAGTCGCTAAGCAACGAGCGACAGCTAGTGGCGAAATCGTAATATGAAATCCGGTTGCTTTTTCAAACATAGGATAGTATTTACATATTTATCCCGGGGGAGAGGAAAGCCAGTGAGACAGCTAGGATTTAGGATAGGATTTACATATTTATCCCGGGGAGAGGAAATCCGATAAGACGGCTTATCCATATGGCGAACCACGGCCTCTCGTCCGGTTACCATAGACCTTTTCCCCACCTTTGACCCCGAAAAAATTATTCCCATACTTTTACATATTTATCCCGGGGGAGAGGAAAGCCAGTGAGACAGCTAGGATTTAGGATAGGATTTACATATTTATCCCGGGGAGAGGAAAGCCGATAAGGCGGCTTATCCATATGGCGAACCACGGCCTCTCGTCCGGTTACCATGGACCTTTCCCCCACCTTTGACCCCGAAAAAATTATTCCCATACTTTACCATTGCAAAATTTTAGGGGCTATTTCAAGAGTGCTTTTGCGAGTTGGCTCCTGTAAAATGGGGTATAGGTGTGTCAAACCATCAATATGATTCATCGCATACAACAATCTGTTTTTTAAAAGTATGGGTAAAGAATTTTGGCCTAGTCTACCACAGCTATTCCTACACTAATTTTTTATTACTGCAATTAAATTAAAACTCAGAAGAAGACAGAGTGATCATTGAATTATCTGATTTATATTTAAATTTTCGAAACACAGCTGAAAACTAACGAACAGTATTCAAAAACGCGAAAACGAGGTAATGTTTACGACCACGCCTGAAAACCTGTCTGAGCAATGACATTAAACAACATGATGCGCAACTACGGCATTTTTGGCCGAAGATCGTATCCGATAGCACGCTCCAATGCACATACTTGACGAGACGAAAACGAGCGAATGTGTGCTGCTTTCAAGGCATAGCATGAATGGTGTTCGTGCCTGCTTTCGATTTTAATGATATTTTGGAAAGTTGAGGTAAAAGGGTAAGGTAAATACTATTGTTGTATATCACACCCGGGCATCGCCCTGTTAAGTACATATGGGAAAGACAGCCTTTGTCAAATACTACGAAGTTATTAATTCAGTACGGTACGTAGTTGCCCATTTGCCGAAATTGCATATTTACTTACCCCTTATGGTTTCAAATAGTTCATGCACCTCCATTTAGATTTTTTTAATCAGTGAGGATATATAGTCATTGCTGATTGCTGCTCATTGTAACATACTATTGCGCATTCACTTTTATTTGCGTATTGCATCAAAGTGTTAACAAGTTCACCTAACATTTCACTCATACCGGTCTATATTGTATAGTCTGATCTCTCAAGTATTTGGAGCCACGAATGATTGTAATTTTTTGACTAAACCCTTTTATTAGTTGGTTTATATACCAAATTCAGTAAAACATTTTTTCATAAAACATGAGATATTGGATTTATTAGCTTTTCCATTCTAAATCATATAGACTGCTTTATTAACGCGAAAATTAATAAATCTCCTCTCTTTCTTCAGATGTGAAAGTTGTGGACAAACCTGTCTAAGCATTGTGAGACCCCTGCAGCACAAGAGGCAATAGCAAAAATAGTAAGTATATCAATCAAGAAATTAAGCCGACATAAAGCAAAACTTTCAACTATTCGTCTAATCTCAATTTCCTATTATTTAGTCACAGGACAATTATAGCAGAAGGGGAGATATCAGAAGTCTGGCGACATATCAGTGACAGTGTGATTCCAAGAAATATAATTAGAGTACTCCATAAATGTTTGCAATAGAAAAACAACCTATGGAGGCATGCAAAGACATTTGAACCTCCGGTAGAGTTGTGTATGGTCCCCACATCCTGCAGGGCTTGAGGAAAATAACTAAAAATTCCAAAGCGTGAGATTGCATAAGCGGTCTTATTTGTAAAAATGCACAAAACACGCCAGACATACTTAAAACAGCTTTGCAAAATGAGGATTACGGGTAACTCACTGCACTTGTATTATATTTGGTTCATCAACTTTTGGTAGTACTATAGAAGAAATTCCGGAAGGGGTATAATCATCATTCATGATAAAATACTGTTATATATATTTTGGACAACTTCATTCTAGACCAGGGATGTCAAACTCGCGGCCCCAGAGAACTTCCAGTGCGGCCCTCGAACGCTTAACAATAATTGTAATAGTATTTTGGAAGTTTTTTTTTTTTATCTAAATGTAATAGATTTTCAAACCTTTTAAAGTGAAATTGATTATTCACACAGAAAACAATTTACTGAAAGTAGTTTTAAAATAATAATTTTTTTTTCGTCCTCATTTTGACCTAATTAAGAATACACATCAAGCTAGCAAAAGAATACTTGAATAAAACACTTGAGTGATTAAATTAAACGCAAAGTACATGAAGAAGGTGGCATTTTCGAAGAAAATGGGAGTTGCAATATTTCTGCATTTCACAAAATTCTGAAGCACATTGTTTAATTTGTCATATTTCCATCAATACAATGAAAAAACACAATAAGCTCAGCATTCAATATGACAAATTCCAAGACCAACTTTGAACAAAAAATTTCCATGTGTTTGTATATTAATATAATTATACAACGACTTAGTTACTAAAAATCAATATCAATAATAATTCAAGCAATCCTATGCCACGCAATGTGGTGCGAAATGTCTTTTTGAAAAAATCTGTCTTTTGTTTTTTTACTGATCTATATATGAAATGATAAAAGTAACTTTTTTGCATTACTGGAATTAATTAAATATTCGCAAAGATCCAGATTAACCCATGATCATGTGGCCTCGTTAGTTAGAGTTGGTACTATAAAATCATTTCAGTCTGGCCTGAGTATGCTGGTGACACAAAAAATGATGCCAAAAGTCAGGACAAATGTAATTAAAAAACATTAAGTTTATACTGTAGTATTTTAGGTAATATTAGGTTCATATATTTAGATTAAATCATTTTTAGTGTATGTATTATTCTTTCCTTATCCAAAGCTTGTTCAAAAATGATTTTGATGGTTGTACATAGAATTTTATGATTTTTTATAATGAATACAGTAACTTGCAAATGTTGCAATAATAGTGGAATGCAAATATTAATATGTAATTGCATTTGAAATTGAAGAAAATAATAAAACTTAATCCAACTGTTTAGTTGCATCACAATATATGTCACAAACTAAAACTATCTTAAAAATATCTTTCAAGTATACATTATCAAAAACTGTTTGCGGCCCTTTTTACAATTTTCAAAATGCAATGCGGCTCTCGAAAACCCGTGAGTTTGACACGACTGATCTGTTCTAAAAGACTCAAGCATTGCTTTGCGAAATATTATCACTTCAATAAAATTGAAAGTAATCTCGCTATATTAAATACAAAATCGTTGCTATCATAAAGGTAAACCAATTCAGCCACTCGAAATATATTGGGCTTCACAAAGCAATGGAGGCAAAATTGAGAGTTTATGAGCTATGAACATTTGTTCTTTTCTTTGTTTTGAGCTTTTCATACTCCACAGCCC